TTATATTCAATAAAAGATATACTTGAAGTTTTTTCATATGTTATTGTACACAATGTATATATAGAAAGTTCTTAATAAAAAGGTTTAGACAATATATAGTTGTTATTTATTTATTGATACCATTGTGTTCTAAATAAAATTTGTTGATTGGGACATGAGGGAGTAACCTAGTAATATTATCATGATTATGATGCATTAAATTCATGTGCATCTGCCTCAATTTATTTTAAAAAGTCCAGAAAAAATATAACTCCCAGTTTTCCTGTTGAATTTCAAATGACTGGAAATTTTATTTATATCACCACTTGTCATTATTTTGTAAAACATTATTGAATGTCCAGGACATTATGTTAGTTGTAAATTGAGATTATCGTTAAAGATTGCAAGTCTATAAATGAAAATTTTTCAATCGCATATTAATTATCCGACAAAGAGCTAATTTCTATCATTTTTTTAAAAATATCATCCATATCAACGAAATGGTCGTGAGAAACAATCCACTGCTGATCACAACCTGGTCGAGTGTCGTACGTTTGCCATCACAATATCCATCAGCAGTCTTTCTACCTTTTATATTTCAATTTTTATTCAATCAATATAATAAATCTACCGTTAATTTCAACCTTTTACCTACCGAATAGTAAACTTGATCGACTTGTGTAAGTTGTAAAAATAAAACAAATCAGCTGAGTGATTACGCAACATCCTCAGATGAAAATTATCGTAAAATGATAACTTAAACAGACGGTCAGTTTTCCGTTTGGACAGTTTTGAAAGTTATATCCGAGGATGTTCAAAGTCGCCGTTGTATTTATTTAATTTGATCGTTGACAGTATTAGTCCTGGGTCGTTTCGAAAATCTCGATTTTCCTTGTCAGCCGCCATTTTTTTTACCTGTGAGACTTGTCAATCACAAGTTGTCTCCCTTTTACCGATTTTGGTAGCGATTTGACTTCGCTATGAAGTCAGTCGGCCGGCGAGATTTAGCGATTTTCAAAATTCTTTGGCGACTTAAATCGTCATTTCGCCGGCAAGATTATGGCCTGGTTCAAACCTATGATTGCGTTGGATAAAAACCGCAATTTTTATACGTGTGCATGTAAAACAAATTTCTTGGTAGAGGGGTCTAAATACAGCACAAACAACATTTTCCAAAAGACCAAAAAGTGAAAAAGTATATTTTAACAAAACGCATTTGACTAACAGGTCGAACAACTGATGCTCTTAAACCCTGCTGACTGCCATTGGCTATTGCCAAATAAATTGATCACCAGATGTAAAAAAATGGATCTTACATATTAATTAAATACCAAACAGAAAACAATAAACTTACGGAAAAGATGGTATACCGCAAACATGAGGTGCAAAAATTTGTACACCATATCCGGATTTCGACATTTAATGTCTCTTCAGTGATGTTAGGGATCGAAACGGTATTTGGAAGGCCATATAATATATATAGGAAAAAAAATAAGACTGAAAATGCACCAAATATTTATATTCAATATGAATATTCACATTTTGTCTATTACAACAACAAGTTGTTCAAAAAATGTTGTAATAGACAAAATGTGAATATTCATATTGAATATAAATATTTGGTGCATTTTCAGCCTTATTTTTTTTTTTTCCTATTTTATGTACAGCATGGACAAAATTTAAAACTTTTTAATATATATATATATTTTTCTTGAACTACTATAAATAAACTTAGTTCATTTTAAAATGTATTCTTTAAAGGTTAAGAAAACAATAAGTTAAAATGGCTGGTACATACATGGCTTCATGGCTAATACCAAAAAGGTATAGCCAATTTCCCGTTTATTTTTTTTCGTTGTTTGGTTCACATGTTCAAATTTAATAAATTGATGAATTTAATAATTGATTGATATCCTAAATCTTTGTTAATTTATTTACTTCGGTAGAAAAGAAAGTGAATCTTCTCATCGGGACTTTAATTCATCTGCATATCTATTATCTATTTTGGGATTGAAAAAAATATCTTTAAAAAATGCGGTTTCGAGCCTATTTCTTCATTTTAATTTGGTTACACGTTCAGCAATAACTGATACAAATATGATATATTACCTAAGATAAGGCCATATATTTGAAGCTGTTCAAAATTTTGTACATTATAGCTGGGACTATTATACTAAAAAAATAGTTAGTATAATAGTCCCAGATTATAGGTACGTGTATCAGATTGGACATTTTTTTTTATTGTTCTATATAAATAATCTTACTATAAGTTATCTCAGGTCTAAACAAAATGTTACTATGAGTTTTCTAATGAGTTTTGTTTGATAATTTTTTGTTTAATTCAGTTAAAAGTTTGTTTTTTTTACACGAGAAGGTCTGCTAAAAAGTTTATGATGATCTCTTTTTTTTTCAGCATAACAAACGGATACTTTTTAATGTACACTAGGTGGACTTTCCTCTATTCCGATGAAGGCAGTGCACGTCTTTCATTTAAAAGATTAAATCGTTGTTTTGCAACAGACGGCGGCACATCAGGCATTGACTTACCATTTTATAATTTGTAACAATTATGATTAACCATATATTTATGAGTTATAACAAAATTATTTTTTATACATCTTTATTTAAGATGATCGAGATTTGAGAATGATATGAAAATAATAAAATATATATTACAAAAAAAAGTTATCTCAGGTCTAGTTATCTAGTATTAAATATATTCACTGGAAATAAGCCCTTTAAAACACAAATCCCCGTTTACTCATTGCGAAGTTTATTTGCTAGTGTTTTTTTAATCTTTTTTTTAATGATTTTATTATATTATCTTTTTTGTGAAAATTTTGAGTGGTTGAACATGAAATGGACACCGATGCTACAAAGAAAATTTGTTTAATGTCATCTGTTGCAATATATACTAAGTATTACACGTGGACAGGATGTTCCCCAGAAAATTAAGGTATTCAAAATAAGTTATACACACCCCAAGGGTACACGCCACTGTCATATGGAAAATTACTGGGTCACCAGTAAACTGGTAATCAGCCGTGCAACTAATCAGTTGAATGACCATGCCACTACAATTTAAAAAGTTTGTCGTTAGATCAAAATGAAATATTTATTTTAATTTAAAATTGAAGAACTAAAAGGATTTATCATAATTATGAAAGGAAATAATTCAACAAAATCGGATTATTTCCCAAAAGATTATATATATATATATTTTTTAAATTTTTTCCGGGGAAAATAGAAAACTGTATCAGAGACATATATATATAAAGGGTCCCATCAAGGATTTTATAGAAATCCTTGCTCTCATGAAATGGATCTCACACAGACATGCATAATTGAAATTTATACATTGATTGATTCTATGATTTCTTGAGAAATCAGGAGCGAAATATAACAAATATTTAGTTTTGATATTAAATTAAATTTACTTTTCCTCGCTATAATTCATTTGACATAACATTGAGGGATTTAAGGGTTTGTCCGTACAACGTTAGTATTTCACATGACTTATTTTCGCGCTTCTCCTTGAAGCTCATTATTCAGACTGTTTCAGACAAGATGATGAAAATATCATGCAAGGCACTTTTTTTTCGATCATCGTGAAGTCAGAGACATATATACATCTCTGGTGAAGTGCACTCTCCCCCTCTTCAAGAATTGTATATTTATAATTCCTCGTCCTTTTTAAAATTACCACACTCTTTGTGATTACCGTTATGCTATTATGCTAACAGTAATTAACCCGGGACTTGATTTACATGTAATATCAGGGGCGATTCTAGCCAGGATAAAGGGGGTCTTAATACATAGGCAGATCCAGGGGGGCCTGGGCCCCCCCTTTGATGGGAAAAATTTGGTTGATTATATAGTGAATCACTGAAGCATGACTGGAGCGGGCCCCCCTTAGATCAGTCAGCGCCCCCCCCCCCCCCCCCCCCTTTTTACAAAAAGTTCTGGATCCGCCACTGAAATATATGTCTCCATTAAATCAGAGACATATATGTCTCTGATTAAATGCAATGATCGTTCACGAAAAGGGGAATCAAACCCCCGGACCCCATCCCCCTTCGATCCGCCACTGATTGTGAATATAAATATAAATATAATTGTTACTTAAACAGGTCAGGAATAACCACCAATTGGTGGATTATACCTCAATTGACGTATAATCCACCAATTGACATATATTGGTATAGACCAATTGACGTATAATGCAAGTTTTTTGTTATAAAATTCTAGTGTGAGATAGGAGCATCATTTTGCAACTTACAACCTATTTTATGACCATTATTGAGTCCTCCGACAGTTTCAGTTTTGTCAAAGCCTGCTGCATCTCTTGAGAATGCATGTGTACAACAATTCTTTTGTTGAAACATCTGTACTATTGACCATGATTGACTTTTAATAATGAAAGTCAAGTATTAACAAAGAGCTCCATTCACCTGTGGAGTTGTACTCATAATCACATGACTACAGACAGTATTGATGTCCATTGACAGGTGATTAGTGGTAAATTTGCCAATCAAGAATTGAGAAGATAATAATAGAAGAAACTGCAAATACAAATATTGATTAAATGCAATATGTTATGTCACTATACTAAACTAGGAATGTTTGACATGTTTTCATACAATAATATGGTTTTAAGAAAACAATGCTCCATTTTGGTTGAATAATTTGCTTTGAAAAACAAAGAATTATACGTCAATTGGTCTATACCATTATATGTCAATTGGTGGATTATACGTCAATTGAGGTATAATCCACCAATTGGTGGTTATTCCTGACCTGTTAAAAGTCATAGACTAGTACTAGCTCCGAGCACCTGTTTTGGGATATATACAGCTAATTAACCGTAAATAACTGCGAGATAATGAATAGCAAGTTGATAATTGTCTATTCTCTGCTAATTAATGTACCTGCAATTCACCCTGATTCATTTGTGAGACCACCGACACTAATAATATTACCTCAAAGTTAGAGGTTCTCCGTTACTGGGAACATCATATCGGATCCGATCAATTTATTGGTTCCATTCCCCCTAGTAATAATGATCCATTTGCAGTGACGATGACAATCAAAGGTATACTCATTACTGTTGATTTTGCATGATAACATACATGTTATGTCAACTCACTTCTCCTTCCTACGGCGTCAGAGAGAGAGAAAAAAGCCTTGCAATGCGTCATAATTATTTGGACTACTTCCATATGACTTTAAAAAAAACCAGCATGTGAAATCTTAATTGTTAGTCCAAGTACACAGTTATCATCCATTGATTTTCATTTTTTACAAAAAGATTTCCTAGTGTGGACCATGTATTACTTTAAAATTTATTTATTTATATTTTTTATGCATAAAAAGTAAGTACAATGAAGTAGGGGGATGAAATTATTTTATTTTAGTTTGAGAATCACTCATACTTCTTGTATGATGTCACCTTAGCCTACAAATTACCAAAAAGAAACACATTTTTATTTCCTCTAGCTTATGTGTTTGCCTTTTCATATACATGTAAAAATGTGTTACTGCCTATATATTGACCTTAAATGTTATTCAGTCTTCCATGGCCTAATGGTATGCTATAAGCAGATAAGTAACTTTCTTTCCTTTTGAAATACAAATAATTTTTTAAATATACATGAAGAATTTTTATATTAGCCGCTTCCCCCCCCCCCCCCCCCCCCCTTAATTTTGAAATCTCTAATTTTAGGCATAGGCTCATATAAATTCGAATTCGACTTTTGAAGAATTGAAATAAATCTGAGACAGCAAATGAGTATTGAGCTGCTTTACATTAAAATACATTATGTACATTCATGTGACATACACAATTATATATAAATAGTTATAAAGACATTTAAAAAGCAATTTTTTGCAATATTTAAATTATGTAGGCCCAAGTTTTGATAGTTAAACGTTAAACTTTAAACGGCAAAAAATTAACACCCAAAGTTCAAACTTATAGTTTTTAATGTATATATGCTATTGCCATGAAACTAGGTAAACTGTCTTATAATTCTCTAATCTTAGTTCATGCCAAGTTTGATTAAAATTAGTATTTCTACTCTATTAGGTCTCTAGTGTGGATATAGTGTATAACTTGCAAATTATTTTCATACTCCTTCCAAATTTATTGCGGATGAATAACATTTTTACCAGATATTAGGAATCCTCTGGTTTTATCCATGCAGTGCCATTAAAAAATTTTGCCCGCAAACCCCTACTTTTCTTTTCATATTTTTATTACATAGTTTAAAAAGCCATCTTTGAAAATCTTATAAAATCCTTGTTATTTTTCCATAGCTTTTGAAAGAAAAAGGTGCCAGTGTTAAGTGTATGAAAAATCTAGAGAGAATCACTTCCCGCCAAATTTTTAATGGCTTATATCTTAAAAACAAGCACACGGACCCTTCATTTTTTCTGTTTTTTTAGTTCCTTTATTCATATTCTTTTAAAAAGCTTGTTATTTTGAAACGGAGTAGCGAACATCCTTAAGGCCTAACAAAAATATATGTCTGTTTAAGTTTACCCGACCGACCGTCCTTTTGAGCGCCGACCCTAAGTCATTCTATTTCCGTCGCAAAAGCAAAAATTAACTGAACTCGTGTCAAAAATGAAGTTTGTGTTGCCAGTAATATAAATCAATTGCCTGATACATCCCAATGTTCACAATCGTGAATACGACAGCTGTTATTAGGAAATTCGTGACTCATGTGATGAAATAAACACTTTGCCGCCATTTCTTCCCCAACCAATAACCAAGGGAAATAATCCAATCATTAAAATAACGGGTAAAATTGGCCAAGGATCAACTCAGACCACGACAAGACGAAACGGCATGACTCAAAATCATGTCGCAAAAAATAAAATGAAAAAATAAAATAAAATGGAAATACCGACCTACCTAGCCTTTTTTTTAAAGTATGTAACCTTAAACAGACATATATTTTTTGGGGCCTAAGTAGTGATTTGGTATAGTTTGAAAAGGTCAAATAATAGTATGTCTGTGAAGTTGTCAAACTAAATTAAAGACCCTTTAAACATAAAATTGTCCATATTTTGAGTTATAGCTTATAGATTTTTCTATTATGTTAATATGTCCTGTCCCAAAAGTAGTACACTACACTGTTAAAATCTCTTTTGGATAGAGCCAGCGCAATTTTTTAAATTTGCCTTTTTGCTCATCGTTCCGAAGGAACAGTGCAATTTTGCCATCACTTGGCGTCCGTCGTCGTCTGTCGTTGTTTTTCGTCAACCATTGGCGTCCGTCGGGTGTAAACTATTTCATACATCTTCTCCTCTACTGAACCAATTCCTACCAAACTTAAGCTGAATGATCTTTAGGGTATTTACAATAAAGTTTGTGTTTTGTTACATGGTTGTCATGGCTAAATAAGAACATAGGGGTAAATGCAGTTTTTGGCTTTTATCTCAAAACCCAAAGCATTTAGAGCAAATCTGACACAGAGTTATTTGTTCATTAGGTATTCAAAGTTCTATCAGCCCTGAAATTTTCTGATGAATGTAATAACCCATTGTCATGATTGTTGGGTTGCTGTCACTTAATTGGTAATTTCAAGAAATATTTGCAGTTTTTGGTTATTATCTTTAATATTATTAATGATAAAGATAAACTGTAAACAGCAAAAATGTTCAGCAAAGTAAGATCTACAAATAAGTTTCTATAACCAAAATTGTCAATGGACCTCTTAAGGAGTTATTGCACTTTAATGACAATTTTACACAATTTGTTTATCATGTTTTCCAACTTTAAAAAATCTTCTCCTCTGAAACTACTGAACCAATTCCAACCAAACTGAGGCTGAATGATCCTTAGGGTATTTAGAATAAAGCTTGTGTTTCATTTTCTGTTTCATCAATAAACATGGCTGCCATGTCTAAAAATAGAACATAGGGGTAAAATGCAGTTTTTGGATTATATCTCAAACACTAAAGCATTTAGAGCAAATCTTATGTGAGGTAAAATTGTTCATTATGTCAAGTTCTATCAGCCATTAAATTTTCAGATGAATCTAACAATCCATTGTTGGGTTGCTGCCACTAGATTGGTAATTTTAAGGAAACTGCAGTTTTTATTTTGTGGTCAAAATATTGGTATGACGTTGACGTTGGCGGCGTCATCGTCGTCCAAAGACACATTGGTTTTCACACTCTAACTTTTGAAGTTAATGGATCTCGATAAAATTTTACCTTAAGGTTCAATACCACAAAATGAAGGTTGGGATTGATTTTGGGGGTTATGGTACCAACAGTTAAGGAATTAGGGGCCAAAAATAAGCATTTTTGTAACTTCCGGACATAACTTGTGTGTTAGTGTATGGATCTCTCTGACATTGTACCACAAGATTCCATATCACAAAGGGAATGCTGGGATTGATTTTGGGGGTAATTGCCTCAAAATTTTAGGAATTAGGGGCCAAAAAAAAGGGGTAAAAAACAAGCATTTTTCTAGTTTCATGACAATAACTTGTGTGTAAGTGTATGGATCTTTCTGAAATTGTACTACAAGGTTCCATATCACAAAGGATAACCCGGAATTGATTTTGGGGGTAATTGCCCAAAATGTTTAGGAATAAGGGGCCAAAAATAAGCATTTTTCTAGTTTCCAGACAATAACTTGTGTTCAAGTGTATGGATTTCTCTGAAATTGTACTGCAAGGTACCATACCACAAAGGGAAGGCTGGGATTGATTTTGGGGGTAATTGCCTCAAAATTTTAGGAATTAGGGGCAAAAAAAAAAGCATTTTGCTAGTTTTAGGACAATAAATTGTACTGCAAGGTACCGTACCACATAGGGAAGGCTGGGATTGAGTTTGGGGGTGATGAATCATAAGGGGGTTCAAAAAATTTGGGGGGATTTTTTTTACTTTTTTTCCTCTTGTTTTCTTTAAAATTTTCCATTTTAAATTGGTTATTCCTGATTTATATATAAAAGCAAATAATAATGATACGGTTTGAATAGGTAAATTAGAAATTTTTAAGTTCTTAGACCACATTCATTTTGTGAGCCTCTTGTTTTAATTGCTTCTGTAAGTAATATATTAATTTGAAATTTTGACGACAGACACATACAGATTATACTGTTAACAATATTTCAGAGTTTAATGTTGTCAAGCACACAAATCATAGAAGAATAGTTAATCAAGTCATTGTTGTCCATTGAAAAATTAGTATGAACACGATGAAAAAGTATGGGAATGTTTGTTTGTTAAACTATTGACCGTGGTTATGTCTTTGAAACTGTTGACTGGCAAATAGTCTGTGAAATGAAATAGCACAAATATTTCATTCTTTTTTATATCATGGTATATAGAAAAACACATACTGATGTATAATAATAGTTATAGTGACTGTCATTAAATTATAGTTTTTACCTTTTTTAAGTTTAGGGCAAGAAATATAGAAGATAAAGAAAACTATAAACAATTACAACTGTACAGTAGAAAGGATCGGCAAAACAACATAAACAGAAGACAACAAGGCCTAAATGGTAAGACCACTTCTATATAATAAAAGTGATTGCCCTTGAATGATGACTATTATAAAAATAAGATGTGGTATGGTAAATGAGTTATCTATCCACCAGAGTTCAATGAAGTGGATGCAAGCAATTAAAGACCAATGACGGCCTTCGATAATGAGAAAACCCATACCTTAAAAGTCAGCCAATAAAGACCCCAACATGAAAAGATTTAAACAATCCAAATTAGTTCAAAGCCAATAACAAGTAATAAAAAAATCATGTCTGTGAGCACTCCACCTAACCATAATCTAGGACAGTGGTTCAAATAGCACAACACATGAACAAACTGTAAAAACTGTTGCAAGTGGCTCAACTCATTATCACTGCAAGGCACTAAAACGACTGATATTAAGTCGTGGACACAAAGCACTGAAATAACAGAACTCATAATCATGATTAGTAGGAATATCAAATTTAAGCTTCTCAAAATGTTCATATTAAACATGATAAAATAAGCTTATTTCATATTGCTGTTTTTTTCTCAATTTATATTTTGTGTATTTATAGGTGCAGAGACTTCTTGGTTTTCATGATCATCAACAGATCAATACAGAAGAGGAAACTTAAGGTTAATACTTTTCTACATTGTGTGCTAATTGGATTAATGTGAAATGAAATGTGTGCTTACCTGGAAAAAGAAAATAGGAAATTTCTACAAAATGGCTGTACACAAAATGGAGTACAATCATAGATGCACAAGAACACAATTGTGTAATTGCAACAACCTACACTGAAGGATTAGGGAAAAATGTAGAAAAAATAGTATTTTTTTGTCAAAATAAACACCTGCTTTATCCATTCATGTACATAGCTCTGTCATATCAACTATATAGAGGAAGATGTTTGAAGAACAAATTGCAAAAATGTATTCTCTACCAATTGAAGGAAGATGTCTGGTGGATGGAATTATTTATGCACTGAACTGTTTTGTAGGGGATTGAATAATTGTACGCAGCAGAAAAGTTAAATTAACATGAAAAGTGGTTATTTTATTTAATCCGCAAATATGAGCACAATATTAATAACATCACAAATAGTATGATATTCATAGCGTTTTGCTTATTATTGTATTGTCTCAAACAGCTAGCCTATTGTTTTTGTATGTCATATTACTCATCAGTGAACATTTTATTAAAGTTTTAATTATCTTTTGTATCAATTATTCAGTCTCAGGAAAAATTATATTCATACTGTTTTTACTGTTATGAAATTTTCATAGAGGAAAATTGAATAAGAGAAATGGAGAACAATGTAATCTGTAATCGTAATAGATTGTAATTGATTACATTTTTTCCAGTAATCGACAGTAATCTGTAATCGAAGACATCTTCGATTACATGTAATCGTAATTAATTAATTAATCGATTACAGCAAAAATTATGATGTAATCATCAATTACTTTTCGATTACATTTCGATTACTTTAGTAAAACAGTTTGATGAAATATAACCTATATTAAATGAAAATATGTATGTTTTCATCACTTTATAGTACAGATAAAAGTAGAATGTATTAAAATGACTGAAGAGTTTATCAACTGCCTTATTTTTATCTTTTGTCTCAAGCTGCAATATGATCAACCAGATCCCCTACTAAATTTTACTTTATATCTAGCGTTTGAAACAAATGAAATTATGTGCTTGTCAATAATTCAAGACCTTTTATATTAAAATAAGAAAATAGATTTAAAATAAGAAATGAGTCTTAAGTTAAGTTCTGTACTACATTAAAGTAGTAATTTTATTCGTATTTAAATTCCTTAAAGCATAATTTTCAATAAGAGTTGAAATTTTAGCTTAGAATAGATACACAGTTGATTCCATGTTATGATACAAAAATTAAGAAAGTACACAAAATCCTTACAACAATGAACCAATGGCTATGCATTGAAATTCTTTTTCAGAAATAGATACATGTATCCCATTTTGACACTATAAATATATATTGTTTATAAATTGAATAAAGAATAAAAAAATCTAAACCAACTTCTTGTCTTTACTAATCAGATGATCAAAGACTTCTAATCAATAAGATGCAGACTTTGTTTTCTTTTCAATTATTTCTAATTAAGAAGGAGATTTACATTATTTTACCCCAGGTTATAAAGTGTACTCCATTGGCAGTTTTATAACCTGTAATTAGCACATACTTACAACTTCTCGTCCAATCAAATTGCTTATATTTGCCTTCTAATTTCATAGTACATACTTTTTCCATGTACTAAGTAACTACGCATGAATGACCACAAGGGTAAGATTTCATTGTATCGTAATCAAGATATTAAAAAAAAATTGCTACTGGCTATTTTGAAATAAACGCTGTATTCCAAATTAAACTAAATAGTTTGTAATTAGTTTTCAAATTGATTTTTTAACATCCTACTATTTAATCTTAGGATCTAAAAATGTTTTTGACGTTTAAAAGTTTCTTTCATTTAAATAAAGAGTAACAAATATGATTTTTTATACCTTGATTAGAGTACAACGCCATCTGAAAATTGTAATCATTTAATTAAAGCAATTTGATCTATTTCGATATGAATTGATTGATTATTGGTTGCTAAATGTCCAGTGACAAATATTTCATGCATGAAAACTATCCACTAGACTACCTATGGGTACATACCAGGGCAAATCCAGTCATTTTTAAAAGGGGTTCCAACCCGAAATAAAGGGAGGGGGGGGGGGGGGTCCAACTGTATGTTCTCATTCAAAAGCATTGATCATCACAAAAAGGGCGTTTTCCATCCCCCTCCTGAATTCCCCCTCCCCCTTTTTGGATCCGCCACTGCAAACTATCTATATGTGTAAAAATTATTATAGTTTTAGTTTTTATGTGAAATTGAAAAAAATGTTTTCAAGAATGTAAAGCTTCCATTGCAATTTAATTATTGCCTGCTTTTAGTCAATTTATTTTGTCATCTTACCATGTGAAGAAGTACATGTATAAAAAAAACCCGCTTTATGTCAATAAACATACTTACACCAGCAGCTACCATCTTTTCATTCCGGATTCAATATTTTACAATGATACTAGTGAGTAGATTTACAAAACTACGTAAATGAGCTACACTTAGTCAGCCAAAACATATCAATAGACTAATTACAGGATTACTCAAGTTGTAAATATGTGCTAAATTGGATAGTGTATGCCCCTCGCTCTAAATTTCATAGTATATACCTTTCCATACACTAACCGACACTTAGAGTGGTTATCCAAACAAAAGGATTAATTCATGCATGTCATTACAATTATAAATTTCGATCTTTAAAATTAGCTGAACTAATTAATTATTCTACCTTTTTTACATTTTTTTTCAGAGGAAAATTCCAACATTGTAATCAACTATGTTAAAATATACCTGTTTTTAATTAGTAAAAAACAAAAAGCTAACTTAAGTCAGTATGAAAACAATATTTATGAAAAAATCTACAATATAGATAAGTGTTTGATGCAATGCGATGTCATCTCTCATTCATGTTGAAAGCCAAAATTTCAAGAATTTTTGAATATTTCTGATCCTCAGTAAGAGAATCCATCTAGAAAACAACTGTCAACTTAAAATTTGGAAACAATGCTTTAAATGCTGTTTTTGGTAAAGTTCTAAATTTCCACTATACAAACGTTGAGCAACAATATTGTGTTTAACTTACTTTATTATTTTTTTGTAATTTTGTAGCATGTAATTGACAGTAATCGAAAAGTAATGTAATTACTTTTGATAAAGTAATCGATTGCAATCGATTACATACAAAAATCAGAGTAATCGATTATTAATCGATTACACAAAAATCCTTCATGTAATCGATTATTAATCTATTACATTTGTCAGTAATCGTGCCCATCCCTGCATTCCACATTTTGATTTTTTTTGGAATCCTATTAATAAATCTCACATTTTTGTCCCATTGTTTAACAATCCTACTTTAATAAATGCACCGAAACTTTCTAAATCACAACTTGTTTTGTTAAGAAGTAATTTAGACCAAGACAAATATATGGCGTGAACTTATTTATTCTTGAATACCGTATATATCTTAACAGGTACATTAATTTTGTGTAAATCTCTTTTTTTTGGTTTTGCTGTCTAATCAATGTTTACACCATAGCTGCTTTTATTCATCTACAGGAACTTACCTTTGTATATTGCTCACAACTTTCCACAAGACTGACCGTGACTTGTGACAGGAATGCAGTTGTAGACTCTACCACAGCAAAGGAAGCATTTCTTACTAATGTTTCTGACAGGAGTGTGCTGGGATCTGCAGCCTAAAGTGTAAAATTCAAATGAGAATTAAAATTAATCATTAGATGAATGTTCCTACCTTGCCAAATTCTGACTTACACATTTTGACCAAAAAATTTCCATAAATTTTAGCTACTACTAGGGTGTTGCCGACCTTGACTAATGATGTAGGTCTCCATATTTTATGTTTCTTCTGTAAAATATAATTTTCTGATACATGTACGCGATGTATGACAATATCAGACTGACTTTGTCTACATACATGTACAGTTAGAGTCAACACATCATGCACATGGTGATTTAAATTAATATCACTCATGTGGTGATTTTTCACTGTGACAGGGTTCTCACTAAGGAAATTTTAAGGCCAGTCCTGGCACTTGTCTCATGGGTCTCATTTGTATGTTTACCAGGGATATAGAGATTTGAGCAAGGGGCATGCCATTTAAAAATCTTAAACAGGGACCAAGATCAGCTAATTATTCTGTTTTAAAAAACGAAAGTAGATTTCCTAAAATTACATAAACAGATTAATTACTTTATGATTTATCGATTAAGATAAATAAAGCTTACAACAGGGACTAGAGGGGCTGAAAATGCATAGTTTTGACAAATAAATTGCTTCTCCTTTGCATGAATTGGGTTTTTGAATGCTGAAATTGACAAGTGGATTGGGTTTTTGATTGTTTTTATTGCGTAATAACGCAAATACGCAGCTTATCTGGAGCTCTGCTCGCCTTACTGAGAACCCTGTGTGATTTTGGTAATTTACTCTAAAATATTTGTATATTCAAAAGATATTACATACATGTACTTCATTTTGATCTATAATGAGGTTAACTCCTAACTATCCTACTGCCTGTCGATACATTTATTTTTGGCATTGCACAAGTCATGTCTTCTTTGACTGTCCATGACGTTAAAATACTTAATCCCTGGGATGTGTTTTAGTTGATTTTAGTCTCTGATGCATGATTTTTTATTATTAATTGTTTTTGGCTTTTAACTAGCTGTCAGTAACTGCGAGTACTCTCAAATCGTACTTTCTTGTTTATTTGACCTGTTGATACTTATTGTAATGCTTTTTTGTTATTTAAAGTTATTCAGGGTTATATCTGGTCTATATACCAGCTTTGATAAGTGTTTGGTATTACTATAAATTTTCACTTCTTCGTACTGTGAACATCAAAATTATTTATTTTGTAAAAATATTTCCTTTCTCTCTTTGAACTGTACAAGTATACCTAACAATAAAATTATTTTCATTTACCTGTGTTTAAAGTAATTGCAAATGGCTGATATTTTTGTTCAAGCATATTGTTTTTCTTAAATTGTTTAACATTTCACAGCGGTATAACATGTTATTTTAATTATTCTTCCCTTAGTTTATTTATTTTGTATTTACATTGTATCATAGATCAAATTTATTTGATCAGTGTATGTTCACTGGTGTTAATATGTCTTTTGATTGAGTTAAGCCATTTCAATTGATATTTTATAGTGTGTCTTTCTATGTTGTGATGTTACACTATTGTTTTAGATAAGGGTGAAGGTTTGGTACCATTAAAACGTTCAAACTGCTGCAATTGTTTGCACTTGTCCCAAGTCAGGAAACTGATGTTCAGTAGTTGTCGTTTGTTGATGTGGTTCATAAGTGTTTCTACTTTCTCGTTTTTTATAAAGATTAGACCGTTGGTTTTCCCATTTGTTTTACACTATTAATTTTTGGGGCCCTTTATAGCTTGCTGTTCGGTGTGAGCCAAGGCGCCGTGTTGAAGACCGTACTTTGACCTATAATGGTTTACTTTTACAAATTTTGACTTGGATGGAGAGTTGTCTCATTGGCACTCATACCACATCTTCTTATATCTACTTAACATTTGTTTGCAATAGACACAGATATCTTTATTTAGTTTAATAGATATACAAGTTTAAACTTTAATGAAAAGTTATTAGTAAAACCAGAAAAATATTGTTTAGACATATTTTGACCTCTCAAAACATGAGAATTTAAGGTGATGTTAAAAATTACTTGTATAAGTAAATTTTTGGAGATTAAGGGGAGATTATTCAAACCTTGAAAAGAAAATTAAAGTCTTACAATTTTACTTATAGACGGGTTTATCTATAATTGACCTAGAAAACATGGGCGCATCAATTAACCTCTCACGTGACCGATCCGCCATTACAACCGTGAAAAATAACGCACGTGTATTGATCAAAACATTATCGATTTCCTGTTTACATTTGTATTTCCTTCATTTTCTTATTTATTTCACTATGGATACTGCCGAAAGTTATAAAAAAAAGGTGGAGGCATTTCTTGTGCAGTTAATATTTGTCCAAATAATTGTAGAAAATTTCAGATGTGCAAAAAAAAAATCAATAAATAAAATATGTGAACTATACAAGTTGTGCCGACTGCACACAATCCTTTTTTTTTTTAATAAAACGTTTTATGAAAGTAAAATAACACTGGCAGACCAATGTTGACACGTTGTCAAACGAAATTATCTATGAAAATTAATCCGATGACTACAGTGCATCTGCCTCTGTTTGTATAAAAGATCTACACATTAGATGGATCCACGATTTTGAAAGGGGGGCCGCGGGTCCCCAAACAAGACACAATTTGTAGGGGAAGCGGTAAAAAGTCTTAATAAACCATGAATGAAGCTTCATAAGGGGGCCTGGGCACCCCCTTAATCCGTTCCTGCACATTTCTTTAGATAATAATAATGAAACCTACCCCGAGGCTACATATGGTCCATATATGAAGGAATGTGTGCTTAAAGTATATATTCACTTTAGTCGGATGGTCCAATATACATCCCTAATGTAATACTGTAATTCTGTATTTCACTGTATTATATATATCGGGGACTTATAAAGGAGTCTAATACAGATTCAGGATTGAAAATATACGAGACCTCTGTTTTGGGGTGGTGGGGAGGGGGAATTTGGCAAAACACTAAATGACGCTTTTAAAACATAATTCTAATCATTGCTTTTAATTTACACATTTGTGTCTTTTGTGGTTTAATGACATTCATTTATTATAAGCACGGGCCTGAGCATGATGTTATACTATGCATACTAGTAGTTTCATGTCAAGTTATTTTTCTACAAAAGAAATTGGAATCGAACACCTAATAACTATATAACAGGGGCTGTAAAAGTTCAAAACTTCTTCTGCCCAATTAAATCGCAAAGTTAAGTCTACATATGGCCCGACGCACTGATAGCATATAGCGCAATTCATGCGGAGACGAAAGTGATACCAAAACGTCACTCAATTTTGAGCAGTATACGTGAGTGGAACCACAAGGAAAAAAATCTTTTCTGTGAAAAAGTTTATCATCAAACGGTTCATGTCTATAGGTATATTTTTTTTAGATGATGTAAGTTACCGCGCGCCCGAGAAAACGTGCTGTCGAATATAGGACAGTCGGGTTAGAAGATTGTTGAATTTTAGGACTGCCTCATTTTAGGTTTGCATGACTATAGAAATTTCTATGAGTTTGATAAAATTGCACCTGGTTTTTCTGATATATCACATTCGACCCACAAGGCAATTTATTTTTATTTATGTATGTGTTATAATAATCAATATTATGATTACCAAATGATTATAATCGATATGTAACCTGGGATTCTTATTCGCAAATATTATGTCCCGGTTCTAACGTATCAAATAAAATGAGTTATATTTTAAGGACACGACACCTGGCCTGCAATACACTTATAATGTCCATTCCTTATCTCATTTCTTTATTATTTATTTTGTAATTTTGCCGTGGTCAAGTACGCTTCACATTCTTGTGTTTACGTTAATTATATGCGGTCTGGGAAATAGATGTACATCTTTACATTTTTTCACAGTTGTAATGGCGATCGTACTATAACGACGCCTAGGAGTCGCGTCACAAACTAAGGTAGATAATTGGAAAAACCTGTCTATACAAGTAAAAAATTACTTACATCTTCAAGTAAAGAAACTAAGACTTGTATAAGTATTAACCCTGACTGACATAGTAGCATTCTTTCCATGACGTCAGAAATAGAACACATTTTGATTGTTCATGAAAACTCAATGGACATGAAACTCTTTTCACACCCGTTATTTCTTAGGTAATCTCATGCCTATCTATCACATGTAATTTCAAGGAAAACTATCTTGATTTATACCTATTGAAATAATTAACATATTTAATCTAAGCATGGAAGTAATATTAAAAAGGAATAACAACGACTAATTAGCATGTATTAACAGCCTGCAGAGCTCTGTACCAAAGTCATATGATTTTATCCAATTATAGTCTCAGCGGCAAGACCCCTTTGGTTACTATCTGTGATACCGCGGTTGTAAAATGGCATCTGGAATTTCTTATCAGTCACATGATTTTATCGAGTCCGGTAATTATAAAGCACCTGTGTGAAATCCAAGGTTTATTAATAAGAAGGTGGCGCTGTATCATATAAAACCTCTACCTTCAGAAAGAAGTCGAATGATGTAAAAAAACTTGAAAAACGGACGAGAATTGTTCAACCTACAACAGTTTAGCATGGAAAATTGTATTTAATTTAGCATATTTTTGCTTTTTACCGTTTGTTTTAAACTGTTCTAAAAGTATTTTCCGGTTAAAAGCGGATCCCGAGTGAAACAGTTAAATACCGATGAATCGATCAGGTTTCACATGATGTTTAACAAAATAATGTAGACAAATCTAGACATAGATTTTTTTACTGTTGAAATGTGCAAAGTTTATCGAGAAGTATTCTAAATTTATGTATATGTCATAAATGTCATTGATTACATTATTGAAACTGGACAGCTAAAATAGGGATAATATGTTCGTAAACATATATTTTTTTAAGAAGTGTTTATTGTGGAATACTTGTATTAAAACAAGCTACAGCAAAAATTTAAACAAACCGACAAAATGAGCTTGACGCTATCTGTCTTACGGCAAATTCATTTTTACACGAATTAGTTTATGTGTCAAGAACTATAAATTAAAGGATAGAACCATTTAGAATTGTGAATATTTTAATTGACTAATGCACGAAAGACTTAGATTATTCGTATTTAATAAAAGGGGGTCCAAACATATTTTTTGTACAATCATCTTCTTAACTTACGGAAATGGCTTTTAAACTGTCTGTAAATATTAAAATTGAAAATGACCCAGCCTTGTTCTCCAATTTCATATGTGATAGCTGTCGGTACTATTAAGATCGAAGTAACCAGAAATAGGAAAATTGGACTTAAATAAAAATTGAACGAATGACTCTATTCGGTAGCGTACATCAGCGGAATGTAACGAATGGACTATTCGGGTTACTTCGCACGTATATACGACAAAAACTTGTCTGTTCGTAGTTTTCCGTGAACACAAAAATGACCGAAAAATGTCAGTGATTTGATCTATCACATGCGGTGAATCAACTTCCATGCCAGATATTAAACCAATTAATGAGTTATCGAAAGATGGGCAGTAACGCAGATGAAACCTTTGAAGTGACAACGTTGTTATTCCTTTTAAATATTACTTCCATGATCTAAGTAATTATCATTAAAATTAGTAAAAACTTCCATTATATTTTGTAAAACTGAAAAGGAATAAGGTTTTACAAATTTCCCCTGTTTACCATGGTTTACCATTAATTTCCAAGATCTATTACTAGACCACCATGAAAATTTCTAATGACCAGTATCATAGCATTATTATAAACTGGCTGATTCTGTATTGGCCCTGTTATAGATTTGAGGTAAGCTGTATTGGCCACGAGAAACGAAGAGTTGAGGGTCAATACAGCTGATCAAGAATCTATAACATGGCCAATACAGAAATAGCCAGTTCATTAAACACTAATCAGTCAGAGCTCAGACATAAACAAGACTTTTTTTTGTTTCTGACTTATAACATGTATAAAAGTCAAATCTTGTAATTTTGATAAAAATGTGTTAACAATTTTGAACTTGTCTAAGTCAGAAATTGACAAACTTGGGTGAGTCAATGTATGCTTCATAAAACTGCCTCGCTTTGTACCCGTTTCTAATTCTTGTGCAAATAAAATTTATATTTCAAGACAATGTATGGTTATTCTATTTTTATGTCAACTGTTTAACAAGGAAAGAACAATATCCAATTCTCTGAACAACCGAAAGAAAAAAGAGAAAGATTCAATTACAGTGATATTATCTGTTGTTTGGCATGAAGCTTTTTTAACTCCCAAAAGACACAAGGATATCCCAGTTCCTGCAGTCTTGACGTCAAATTTACGCTGAAAATTGCTGATTTTGCATCTTTGTGAGATGCTCAGATCTGATATTTGTTTTGTTTGCCTAAGAAAGTGTGTTACTGCACTATATGTCCAGTTAATCTTTTTAAAACTTGACACCAGTCTGCTTGTCATTTTCAAAAGGGGAATATAAGGTAGGGGGAAAGAAAAAGGAAAGCGTGTGTATTTGTTTACATCCGGTCCAATTAAAGGGCCACCACTCGTTATTTCCCGCCATCTCTACAAATTCACATTTGACTAAATTAAAAGTGATCTCAAGATCTTTCACGGAACAAACATTTTTTTTTATTTCAACTCATTTAAAAAAAAAATAGTTCACTAGCATACAAGACTATGTTTACGAATTGTCTATTCCATGGACAAAAATCCGACAGAGACATAATATTACAATTAAATTAATTATATGTCTGCAATTATCATATGATTATACAGGAGTCGGTTTCACAAAAAAAACTTACAACTTAGATTGATCGTAAGTATACTAAATTGTTCATGACTTAAGTTGTTTTGTGGAGCCAGATCCAGGCGGATATTTTTCACTTCCCCCCTAATCAAATTACATGTTGTGCAAGAATATTATAATTAAACTATAGACCTTTTATTTGAAAATCAATCAATTGTATAATCCGTGATACATAAATAAATATGCTACAAGTATGCGCGTATATATACCAGCAAAACGATTTATCGTCCAAGACCTGGTTATTAAAGACGAACGGCATAAGAAAAATGAGAAATCGGAGTAGCAACACTTAAAATAGGCTAGAAATAAGAAATTAGTCCCATAAAAAGAGCAAATGTGCTAAACGAAAATAGTCACATGTCCTGCTTTTACAAATAATTCTACAAAACTAGGGCCAATAAGAAGGTGTACATGACATCATATCTACCTAATACAGTTAGCAAATAAAAGACATCCGTCACATGAAATCAGACAAAATACAACAAACATATGAAATAACAAGTTACGTAAAACACATATGGAGCACCATTACTATTGATGGTATATAAGGTCCTTATATATACATTGTACATAAGAAAAAATAACTCACTTAGAGTAAGCAAAAGCAATAAAAGCTGAAAACTATGTACCATATGTTAAAAATACACATTACGTCTCTTAATTGATGCATGGGCTCTCTTTTTTCTTTTTTTTTTCTTTTCTTTTTTTTTTTTGAGGGTGTTAAAATTTTCAGTAAATATTCTTTTCAGGGCGTAGCTACCCGGAGGCACATCAGCACGTGCATCCACGTCGTTTTCACAAAAAAAAGAGAGAGAGAGAGTGAGGGACAAAGTTTACATACTAGTATAGGAATTAGTCTTTCTATGTATGCATTTTAAAAACTACACAAAGAATAAAAGCAAGAGGAATACACATGCAGCGGAATTTTTAATCCCGTATGTGTACGATAAATAAATACAACTGGTGTAAACTTAGAGGAACTTTTTATATTACGGGCATTGTTTAGAAAATACCAGCTACATAGTTGTTGGTACCACAACCATACCGTATACTCGCTTTGAGTGCAAAAAACATAATCCCTTTAGGGTTAACAAAAAAACTTGAAAATTATTATTTTCCGCTTCGCCCCAAAGCACACATCTTACTACAATGAAGACTCTTCAACTCGTATCGATCCGGGAATAATGACTGTTACTTTCAGGCATGTGAACTAGTTCAATATTGACTAAGTATGTAGGTCTTGACGTCAACACGAATAGTTCATCTTCCCTTCTCAAATCCGCCTCTGATGCTGTTTTCATACTCTTATGAGTAGCAGCAAAGTTATTTCACACCTTTCCTAAATGCACATAAAAGGCATATATAGTTAAAACTTTTCAATTTAACATCGTAGTCAAATCTTTAACATTGATTTTATTTTTGTAATATTAAAGCATATCTAAATATATATTGCCATATATGTAAAATTGAGAATGGAAATGGGGAATATGTGAAAGAGACAACAACCCGACCAAAGAGCAGAAACAGCTTAAGGCCACAATGGGTCTTCAACACAGCGAGAAAATCCCGCACACGGAGGCGGGCTTCAGCTGGCCCCTAAACAAAAAAATGTACTAGTTCAGTGAAAATGGACGTCACACTAACCTCCGAAACATATAAATGAACTAAAATTAAACAAACATACAAGACTAACAAAGTTAAAGAGGCTCCTGACTTGGGACATGCGCACAAATGCATTGGGGTTAAACATGTTTTATGAGATCTCAACCCTCCCCTTATACCTCTAGCCAATATAGAATAAACAAACACACAGCAATCCACACGTAAAACCTAGTTTAAAAGAAGTCCGAGTGTACCGTTTTGAGTACTCGTGAACTTACATCCTGTTGATACTTTTTATATATATTTTGCCAAAATGGCATTGTACATGTATAAGGTCATGCGTTTCCCTAACTGTTTATGATGTCTTTACACTAAATCCGTTGGCTGTGTTCTAATTGATATTTTAGTCTATACGAACATGATTTCTTTATTATTTGTAATTGGATTTAACTAACTTCAGTAACTGCGAGCACTCTAATTTTACTAGCATTTTTTTTGTTTGTGTGTGCTTCGTACCGATATATTGAGTTAAGCCATTTTGCAACTGCATGCATGAACTTATGTCGTATGTTGTTAAACCATTGTCGCAGGTTATAGGACTTGTAATCCAGTGGCTATCGCTGTTTCGTGTCTGTCATTTTTTGTTTCTCGTAAATTGTATGTTTAGAAATTAGGCCATCCTATAAATATAGGATTTAGGAATGGGGAGGGGCTTATGGAGCTTCAGCGTTTAGACGTCCTTGTTTAATTCCTACGAGAAGGTAACACCTCCCGAAACGAAATAGTTAGAGGAGGGGATAAGGCGTCTGCGCAATGCTAGGCGGTGTTGCCGTAGAAGGATGAAGTGAAAAGTACAGGTTCCAGCCCCGGTCGGGGAGGAAGTAAAGAATCAGATCTATTCTAGATTTTCTAGGCACGTTATATATAACCCGTCTCAAATTTAGCCCAACAAAATTAGATCTTCAAATTTGCGTTAGAAAATTTTTGTTCTTCCCTCAGTGGTGCCATGACTGTACATCAAAACTATTACTGGAAGTCTCCTCTTTTCGATGTGATCTGATCATTTGTTCCATATTTTTTTTATTTTCTCTTTAGTGATCGTTTTGTTTTCGTATAATGCTGTCCAAATATACAATTTTATTTTTTTATTAATATTTTATAAAATTGAGAATGGAAATGGGGAATGTGTCATATCACAATGGCTTATGTAAAGGAACAACAAAGGATAAAGCATCCCGTCGCAAAGAACGAACTAAAACTAATTTAAAAAAAACGAACATAAATAAATGACAACCGGTCAACCACCGACAGCAGATTCTGGACTTGGACAGAAATAGTTTGTGTACATGAAACACGTCGATCCACTCAATCTACGTACGATATCTCATTCCGTTCATATTCATATGCAAAAAGAAGATATGGATATTCGTCAATGACGCAGCAATCCAACGACAAACATAACCGTACAACACTGCAGTCATACAGTGGGCAACAAAAGACAGCTATCTATACAATATATAAAACTCTGATTGAAATAAGGAAATTAAGAAGGACCAATTTACCACGATTAATGTATTCCACGCCAGGGGCATTTTTAACGTCTTTTGATCTTATTTCAATGATCAATATCATCATATTCACAACTGAATATGTTTATACATTAAGTATTTAAAAACATATATAATTGTGCATTTCTGATCATTTAACCCCAAATGAACATCTTCAGATTACTCGGGACTGCAATTTAGATATATCATGACCCAGTGTTTTTCAAAGAGAACCAAATATCTGTCAGAAGTAAACTATGTATTGCATTTTGGAAACAAATCAATTCGTGTTGGTAAGCGATGTCATTCGAAATCGCCTGGTTTTTACTAAAACATATCAGATTTGCAATATTGTTTTAAAAAGGCATGTAACAGCAATTGTTAGTGCAAAATAACTATTTTATGAATGAAAATCTTTTAAGTATATAATTCGGACTATTCAATATATAAAAATCCAATAAGTTACGACAATTTTCCGATTTTTACCCCGCGAGTGAAACATATACAGGAGAAAGAAGCCCCACAGAAACAATCAAGATCCACCATCAAAAGTAAAGTACTCAGATTAACGAAAAATATTCAGATATGAAATTTTCAACTTCTGACAAGGATCCTATAACATGGGATATGGAAAACATTTTGTTAGCAAAAATAACTGTTATCCCCAGACTATATATAGCAGCAAGACAAACTTGTATGCGAGAAGAATTAGAATGTCAATAACAACAAAGAGAAGAAGTCACAGTAAAACTATAGTTCTCCATTAAGAGACATAATAACGAGTGGCGAGTTTTTTTTGTTTTTTTGTTTGTGTGTTGGGGTGACAAAATTTTTGTGCGGACCTTCATTAAAATCAAAGAAGTGCTCAGTAACAAATATTATTCCTCTTTTACTTGTTGCTTTCATCTGGACCTTAACACAAATTTTAATCAGAATCATTCATGTGTAAAATATAGGTCGAGGTGACCAACTTTTTTTCAATGTCCTTTGTTGTTATCAAAGATGTGCGATCTAAAAGATATCATTCCTCTATGACTTGTAGTTGATAAGATTTTGTATCTTAATGCAAAACTTAACCAGAATTAAATTAGGTCGAGGTGACCCATTTTTTCATGGACATTCGTTACTATCCAAGATGTGCGCACTAATAGTAAATCATTCCTCTTTGACTCGCAGTTTGTTTCGATCTTGACCTAAATGCAAAACTTAGCCGTGACAGACTGACGAACAAACGTAGTAAACGCTATATCCACTCCCAAACTCCGTTTTCCGAAGGGATGATAAAGAGATGATAACTAAAAATAAAAATGTTAAACTGGGTCTGGAAAAGGGTAAATTTTCTTAATAAAGTTTATATTTTGATATAAGGCTGCTGCTCATATTTAGAAGACAAACTGCTTTACGTGCTAAAAAGCTTGTAAAAGTTGGATACAATTGATGTAAAGTTATGTTAAACACCTACAATGAAATGCTTTAAACTGCATTTTTCATATCTGTTAGATACTAAATCATGTAAAAATGCATAATTCTGAAAATCGAAGCCAAATAATGGCCCTATCATGACATATATAAGCTATCGAGATATTGGACTTAGAATAGGTCTTATAGACAGCTGACTATCTTATTCACTGAAATGTATTTATGCAATTTAAACTGCATATCGACTATAAAGTGGCACCTAGCTATAGTTCTTCAGTAGGAAATGAACTCGAGGTATATAGTATACAAACTGTTCTTTGATATTTCATTATTATTTATCATATTTTACTTACATTATGCCATGCGTATTTCTTAAGACGAACAGAACTAGTAAATCTATTCAACTCTTAGTTTCATCATTTCCTCGGAATGAACTACCCCTAAATTTATAAAATTATGTCTGTCCAATTTGCAGACAAAAGCAGGCGTTATTGTTTCTCTGATAAAGTTTTCAATGATCGAATTGCCTAAATTACATGACTTCAATAACTGTTTCGTTTTGTTTGCGGGGCATTATCAATTATGCATGACTGGATTCGGCAATTTCCGATAAAAAAATTTACGAAGTTTACCGAATCTGAACCACCACCATCACTATCATCAATCATCATCATCACCATCACTGATCAACAAAACACGTATAATGTTGTGACCACTGCATATAATGTTCCGACAACTGCATATAATGCTATCACGACTGCATATAATGTTATTACCACTGCAGACCACTGCACATAATGTTGTAACCACTGCATGTAATCAACGGTTGTAACCACTGCATATAATGCTGTCACGGCTGCATATAATGCTGTGACCACTGCATATAATGATGATCATCAACATAAGGCAGTCATGGCGTTCCATACAAAAACTCGCTTGAGCCCGAGACCAGTGGCGGATCCAGAGGGAGGCGTAGAGGGCGTACGCCCCCCTTTTGCTTGCACTTTTTTTTTTTTTTTTTGTAAAATGATTAATCAGACTAGAAATCGTGAACTTTGCCATTTCCCGTGTATTTCATTTTTATGCGACAATTCTTTACTTATAAAGATATTTTTCGCTCGTATTTACTGTAATATATTACTGATTATGTCAAAGTCGTGTGATTCACTACGGTGGAGTTGACCAGTGCGTCGAAAAAAAAACGTCACTCAGTCATTTTGAAATTCAAATTTCAGTAACACATTGCTTAGGCTGAGGATGATAAGCATGACACCTTCAAAGCGACAAAGGATTGAGCAAGAACGTATTGACTTCTGTTTCACAATTCCACCAAACAGAAAGTAATACTCTATTACACTCTCATGAAAAAAATTTCCACAGCAGTATTATTTACCTTCGAAAACATGTTTAACCCCACACGCCCCAGCCTATTAATAACATAGCTGAATAATGATCCCCAGTCAGTAAGCTCTAGATAGATTTAAAGTCTAAGGTACGGACCATTTGATTTGAGGGGACAGTCTGAGATATTTGAGAGAAAAAATTCTGACCCTGATTTTTGCCCTAAACAATACTTCTGGCCGTATCATTGTACACTATGTTAGTTATACGTCCTTGGTCAAAATCAGTTGATTTTTTTTTATCGTCATAAAGAAAATGTGCATTTTATCGTCATGCACCAAAAACTACCGTTAACGTCATTAAGCAAGATTTTTTACCGTTATTCGTCATGAACGTACCCCGATTACGACCTTCGTATATATGTATGTATATAGAAGTTTTTATGTCATATTAATTTGTGTGATATCATTTTTTGTATGTCGAAACTATAAGCCGTTTACATGAAGGGACCCCATTGGAAACAAGCTCCAGAGCTCTCATGGGTTATCCCTGATAAAATATCAGCAAATTTTTTCCATGCACTTAAGGATACCGTGGCTACACTCATAAAATGCCATTATATTTTACAAAGTAAGTGCTAGTATTGTCTTTATGTATCGTATATATTGAGTATTGTATTAATTCATATGCTTGATATTTTATTGAATAAAATATTATTATATTATTATCTCGACCTGGTTCAGCGGTAGTCGTGGATGCTTGAGCTTACAAGTAGATAAGTAATTTAGTTTTAAAAGTTAGTTTTAGAGTTTGAAGGACATTGAAGGTGGTATCAGTGTATCCATCAATCATCTTTTTCTGATAATAATAAATATATTAGTCTTGAGTAACTTTAATCTTCTTCTTCTATATGTATTTCCTTCCAATTATGGAATTTAATTCATAATTTCCCGCCAAAAACTACTTATTAAAACCACGATTTGTACGAAGAAAATGATGACGTTAAACGCATATAAATGGAGAATGAAGAATAATTATCTCGTAGAAGAAAATATAATGTAATGTTCTGTGTTTACTATGACATATCTAATTGATATTTAGGAAATCTTTAGGCAACGTTAAAAAATGTCATAATATACCGAGCTGATGGTCATAATACAAATTCAGTCGCAATGAAACGTACAAATCGCTCATTTCTGTTTAACAGGGTTTAACAACATTTTCACAAACCAGACATCTTTTTTAACGATTAAAATTACTGACTCTTCTTTCACGAACACAAGCCTTTTTTGGTTAAAAAAAAATAAACCTATGCAACATTCACACTGTAGTGTACTACCACCACACTCAAAATGTGTTGGCATACATCTGGTTGATATTTGCAACATATCAATTTTTTATCATGCAGTCACACTGTCATGACTGTACAGGAATAACCTTATCGCTATTTGGAAATCTGTGACGCTTGACCCTAGAATCTGCACCTCTTGAACTATTGACGTCATACAACAATCACTTTTCCATCATGTCCATTGTGGCGTCATATATTTTCTATTGTGACGTCAAAATTTTTCGGGAACCTTTGTGATGTCCAGTAATGGCGAACAAATAGTGATAAGGTGTATTGGAATATAAACAACCTTTTTGTATTTCCTTTTTCTTTTGTTATAGAAATCCACCAATATTAATACTGATTCTTTCTGAATAATAAATGGGATCTTTCTTCATTATGTCCTTTAAATATATTTAACTTTTATATATTTACATATTTTTATTATTTAATTTACAATTTTAAGATCAATGGTATATATATGAAACTGAAAGTGTAAGAGACTAAAAAACTCTTTGCAATGGAAAAAAACTGCCTATTGTGTCCCCTACCATGCCTACGTGCTGCCTGCATACATTTTTAGAACAGTCAAGTTTGCAAAATTTTATCATGATTTAATCATTTTGGGTTCAACATTTGTTCAACAGTCTTGTGAAGTAATACACACCTTTCAAATTCGTGCACTTTCCTGTACATTTCCTATGTCACAATGCTTACGTTATTATGTCATAGTAAGAACCGATTGTTCAGTGTTGTCATTTACACCAATTGACCCCAGGTCAACTGGTGTAACTCATTCATAAAAAACAACTCAAGATTGGTGTATACTTCAATTCTTTATTTTTCAAGATCAAATAGTCCTTGTTTAGCATATGATTTAGTTCATGAAATAACTTTTAACTAGCATAACCAAGTTAACAGCTTGCTGAATATTAAAAGTAATCATAGTAATTGGATACTGTATTATATTTACTGTAAATGAGATGAAGGCTAAAGTAGTACATGTGTAGTCTTAATTATGTCGGTTCCTGGAATTCTAAATTTCATTGGTCAAGAATGTACACAACAACCCCTTATCATGCTTATGTTGTCTATGAAATAGTCTTGACAGTGACCATCTGACCATGGCAGAAAACCCTAAAATGGAGGACCTGGTAAAATTTTATTGGTCTTGACTGATGGATCCAATGATTTTCATAAAGACTGGTTTAATGTGTTCTTTAGTCATGTCAATTATGTTAACAATTGTGTCATCTTAGTTTAACAAGTGAAAAGTAACACCACCATAGTTAATGAACTTGATACAGAAGTTGGCTCTCTCTTCAAAAAAATTGTAGAACTGGAAACCAGATTAGAAAACCAAGAACAATATTCACGCCGAACAAGTTTGCGTTTTCATAACATCCGCGTGCCTATCGACCAAAACGGTAAAATCCCTCACCCTATTAACACTGATGTTTTGATACTACATGTCTGCAATTCCAAACTAGGCCTGGATCTAACTATTAACGATATCGGGCGTAGTCATGTTATAGGGAATGTAAAAAACGGTAAATCGCAGGTAATTGTAAGATTCTTGTCATATCGCACAAGAAGCAGGGTTTATACCAACAAAAAAGCCTTAAAGGGTGATGTAGATGGCATATTCATAACTGAGAACTTAACACAGTATAGAACTGGTCTTACACAAAAGCTAGCCGACCTCAAGTACAACCATAAAATCTTCGCATACTGGACATCCGATGGTCGCATATTTGCCAAAACAACAGAGAAAAGCACCAAAAAACGTATCACAAACTATGACGACATAACAGCTCTTGAGACAACCACAGACGGTGACAATCAACAACAATCACCAGATCCATCCCAAGTAACCACCATCAAGAACAGTGATGAGAACCAAAATAATGGCGCATATTAGATAAAAAAAAAACAAAAAACAAAAAATATTAAGATAGTGTAAATATATATGTCTATGACAGTTGTTACTTGTCTCTTTAAATATCTCTTATGTACATTAAAATTGCTTCATGTGTTATTTATATTGCTAGCAAATAAATCTGGTATAATTTAATTGTATCAAAAAGTTTAAAACAATTAAAACATCAGAATAAATTCATAAACTCATGTAACAAGTATAAAATTTACTGCTTTCAAATATTACAATTGAGTTTATCATAGTTGTAAGAAATCAATTTCAAGTCATGCTATCAGATGTTATATGTATATTTCATACAATCATGTGCAGCTACGGAACACCCCTGCTTATATATTTAAAAGCTTTGACCAAAAATCCAAAATCAAAAGCTACATCAAAAAAGATTTGCTATAGATAAAAACATAAAGTAGTGAACAGTTGTGTATAAAAAAAAATCCCGCAATTGAAATTTTGTTGTGAAATAATTTTCCCATTCTATGACTCGAAAATGCTTTCCTCCAGTTTATTATTTTTTACAATGTACTTTTTTTTTCTTTGTGTATATATCTTTAATACCTGTATGACTTTGGATGATGATGTGTGTGATCTACTATTTTTGTGTAACCTGAATGGCAACCTGTCTTTTAAATTGTTTTTATTTGTTGTACTTTTACCTAACGGGTAATTGTATTGAACAATACAGGGTAGCCATAGGGTTATTCAATTCATGTAAATTTCATTTTTCCGGATCAGATAATTTTTGTTACAAAGGAGAACCTTTTTCGGAAATTCTATTTACCAATTGTCGTTGTTCATTTCTCGTCGTCTCCTTGTCGCTTCTTCAGAGCCTTGATCCAAATATAAATGTTTTATTCCTTCTATTTGTGTTACACTTCATCCTTATAATTGGAAGCGTTGAACAAAATCCCGGTCCAAATGAACATGAAAACGTTTTTTCTCGTGAAACTGATAACTCCATATCAATATGCAATATTAACATTCGTAGTTTACGAAATAAGATTGAGTTCATTCAAAATTTTGCAGAAGAGTTTGATATTGTAACAGTCACTGAAACACACTTAGATCCAAATATAAATAACGAAGAATTAATGATAGATTCATTTTCACAAAATATATTCCGTAAAGATCGTAATAATGCCGGAGGAGGCTTACTCATTTATACAAAAGATGATTTATCAGTCACCAGAAAAGGTGTACTCGAAAACCACATTGACGAAACTATCTGGGTGGAGATCAGAGGTAAAGGTCAAACTTTTTTATTATGTTGTACTTATCGACCGGAATGGTCAGGTGTTGAATATTGGACACGACTAAATCATGCTATTGAACTTGGTTATCAGTTTACTGAAAACATTGTGATTTCTGGAGACTTGAATTCCGATTTATTTTCTTATAATAATAATAAGTTATATGATACGATTCATCAATTTAATTTAAAAAACGTAATTAATAAACCTACAAGGGTAACTGATCACAGTAGTACTTTGCTTGATCCGATCATATTAAGTGATGCTATACAATTTTCTTTTTCTGATGTACTGAATGTACCTGCTGATATCAGTGATCACGATGCCTCTGTTATTTTTTTACAATGTCCAAAGTCCGTAACAAAGTCGTTTAAACGGGAAATATGGTTGTATGAAAAAACAGATGTTGATAAGTTTTCAAATATGTTGAATGCAGTTGAATGGAATGAGCTCTTTTACAGTGTTGAGGAAGTAGACGAAATGGTCACTATATTCACTGAAAAAATCCTCAACATTGCAAGAGAGAGCATTCCAACCAAAACAGTAACTATACGTGGCAATGATAAACACTGGTTTAACAGTAATATCAGAAAAGCAATTCGAATAAGGGATAGATTACGAAAAAAATCAATTAAATCTAAAAAAGAAACGGATATTAATAAATATAAGAAACAAAGGAATAAAGTGAATAATATGAAGAAAGAAGCGAAAGAAAATTTTGAGAAAAACTTAGAAAATATTATACTAGATAACGCTTCCGATTCTAAGACTTATTGGAAAATAATGAAGATGCTGATTAAACCAAATAGAGGTTCTAATAACATACCCCCATTAAAAAATATTCTTAATGATGAACGTTTCGAGGAGTTCGCCGATGGAGACGACGAGAAATGCGACATTCTCAATAAGTATTTTTGTTTTATTTCATCGCTAGCAGAAGTTGATGCTCAACTACCCGATTTCGACAAAAAAACTAACAATTTATTGAATGATATAGAGATTAGTACTAGTGAAATTGTTGACATTATAAAAACTATAAATCCTAAAAAAGCGTCAGGCCCGGATGTCATTAGTCATAAGATGCTTAAAATTTGTCCCGAAAAAATTGCAATTCCATTATGTATAATATTTAATAAATCCTTGCAGCAGTGCAAGTATCCATCCAGCTGGAAAATTTCAAATGTTATAGCCTTATTTAAAAAGGGGGATAGTTCATTACCTTCCAATTATAGACCTATATCACTCATTAGTTGCATAGGCAAAGTCATGGAACGTGTTATATATAAATATGTTTACAACCACTTACAAAGAAATAAGTTAATTTATGAGTATCAATCGGGTTTTCTTCCTAAATGTTCAACGGTTCACCAACTGTTAGAAATATATAATTGCATATTGAACTCACTTGAAAAGAAAGAGATAAGTTGTTTTGTTTTTTGCGATTTCTCCAAAGCCTTTGATAAAGTTTGGCATGATGGTTTATTACATAAAATGAAGGCTTATGGTATAAATGGAAATCTGTTAAAATGGTTTAGAAGCTACCTAAGTGATAGAAAACAAAGAGTGGTTATCAAGCAATCTTCTTCAAAACTTTGCAGTATTTCAGCTGGTGTCCCTCAAGGGTCGGTCCTTGGACCATTACTTTTTATAATATATATTAATGATATTGCAGAAAGCCTTATTTCTCTGTGCAGACTCTTTGCAGATGACACGTCGTTCAGCTGTGCGGATCGTGATGCATTGCAGATAGAAACTGTGATAAACCATGATCTGGAAAAGCTGAACGAATGGTCCAAAAAATGGTTAATGTCTTTTAATCCAGATAAAACAGAAATTATGTTATTTTCTAATGTTGAAATCCCAGAAATGAACTTTATATTCAATGATAAAAATATACCTATTACAAATATTCATAAACATTTAGGGGTTACATTTAGCAATGATGCTAAATGGAATGTCCACGTTGATAATATTATCTTAAGCACATCTAAACATATAAATATGCTAAGGAAGTTGAAATATAAACTGAGCAGAAAAAATTTAGAAAAACTATATTTAGTTTTTATAAGACCTTTATTTGAGTATGCCAGTGAAGTTTGGGATAACATTGGGGTAGGTTATATCAATAAACTGGAACAATTACAGCTCCAAGCTGCTAGAATAGTTACGGGGTTACCTATATTCACAAGCTCAAGGGTTATTTATGAAGAACTTGGATGGGAAACATTAGCTGAAAGAAGAGAGAGAAGAAAAATTCAAATGTTTTATTATATTCAAAAAAATAATGTTCCAGAATATTTGACAAATTTAATTCCCCCAAAAATCCAAAGTATGACGGTCTATCCTCTACGCAATGGAAATGACATCGTTATTCCATTCTGCAGACTAGCATTGACTAATGATTCATTTATTCCATCAACCATACGTCTTTGGAATAATCTTGATGATTCAACTCGTGATGCGGAATCAATAAATAAATTTAAAACTGAACTAAAAAAACTTTACCCTCAGAGAAACATATTTGTACAGAAGCAATATGAGTTTGGAATTCGAAAACTGAATATTATTCTAACCCAACTTCGATGTTTTGCATCATCCTTAAACTATGATCTATATAGGGTCAATATTATTTCTGACCCTTCTTGCCGCTGTGGTGTTAATCGTGAAGATTCCTATCATTTCTTTTTTAAATGTATATTATATTCAGACATACGAAATAAAATGTTTGAAAGTCTGCGCTGGCTTCCAAAAGTTTTTAAAATTAACATAGAACTACTAACCTCGGGTAGTTGTCTTCTTTCTCTAGAGCAAAACCAAACCATTTTCAAAAATGTCTTCGAGTTTATTAAAAGTTCGGAAAGATTTCTAATTGTCTAGATAGCAAACCATGATCGCACACACATCATCATCTAAGTAAAAGTCTTCCTTTTTTTTTCTTTTTTTTTTTGTTTAATTTGTATTTTATTTTTTGTTTTTGTTTTCTAAATATTCATTTATTTATTTTTTCTGTATTATTGTTTTCTTTCTGTCTTCACTTTTCTGTCTTTTGACATAAATCCATATATATATATATATATATATATTAAATAGATATACCATTCTATACATGCATGCTCATACATATATTTTGTATTATATTGCTATAAATGTTGAATGGAGAAGACTTCATAAGTCTGTTTGACTTGTGTCTTATCCAATTTGTACTTGAACAAATAAAATATGTTTAAACTAAAAAACAAGTGATTCATCTTTCCACATTTCTATCCTCAATTGTTAAAAAAACTCACCCATTTCAACTTGCACTCTATGACTCCAAACTAATCTTTGGTTTAAACTGGATTTAACCAGCCCAGTCAACATGGTCAATACTCTGTACAAAATATGAGTCAGTGGTCAAAACCCTTTTTTTTTATTTAATGCCCCACCTAGGGGCATATGTTTTTCAGTCTGTGTGTCTGTTTGTTTGTCCGTTCGTTCGTCCGTCCGTCTGTCCCACTTCATATAAAAGTTTTTGGTCAAGGTAGTTTTGATGAAATTGAAGTCCAATCAACTTGAAACTTAGTACACATGTTCCCTATGATATGATCTTTCTAATTTTAATGCCAAATTAGAGTTTTGACCACAATTTCATGGTCCACTGAACATAGAAAATGGTAGTTCGAGAGAACTATGGACACATTCTTGTTTAATAATTATATATTGTGAACCTACACCATTTGCACCTGAATGGATTATAAAAGTGTGGTAGGGTAAATATTTTATTATGGTAATGAGAAAAAACTATAAACTTACACTCCATTTCAAGCAAAAGCATTAAGTCAATTCAAATGCATAGAATGATGTTCAGTTTAAATTCTTAATCATAAATGCAGTGTAATACATAATACATTGTATAGGCTTACAGATACACTCTACAAAATTGGTAGGTACTGATTAATTTCAAAAGGTTTGCTGGGAAACTGAAAGGTTTTGCTAGAAATGTTAATGTTAATATCAAATGAATATTCGGCATGTTCTCTTAATACAAGTTTGTGTAGCTCAAAATTCAGTGTTTAAACCACTAAAACATGTCAAACTTTTTTTAAAAACACCCAGACTGGCATTTGTGATGGTGGAAAAGGTTACCAAGAAAGATGTTTTGCATATACAAAATGTATTTTACAACATTGTTAATGTGTGTTTTTATATGCCCGTTTACGGGACATATTATGGTATACCTCTGTCCGTCCATCCGTCCGTCTGTCCGTCCGGACATTAACTCAAAAACACTTTAACCAATTTGCATAAAACTTTGGTGAATTGTTTATATCTATTGACGTGAGCTCCCTTTTGTTTTTTATAAATTTTAGATTTTGCATTTCCGAGTTATGGGGTTTTATTCAATAAAAAAAGGGGGATTTTCGAGTTTTCGGACAATAACTCAAGAATGCTTTCACCAACTTGCAAGAAATTGTGGTGAATTGTTTATGTCTATTGACACGAGCTCCCTTTCGATTTTCATATATTTTAGATTTTACGTTTTCGAGTTACAGGGTTTTATTCATAAAAAAAAGGGGGATTTTCCAGTTTTTGGACAAAAAATCAAAAATGCTTTCAGCAGCTCTTATGAAACTTTGGTGAATTGTTTATATCTATTGATGTAAGCTCTGTTTAGAATTTTATAAATTTGACATTTCACATTTCTGAGTTATGGGGTTTTATTCATTAAAAAAGGGGGGATTTTCCAGTTTTCGGACAATAACTCAAAAATGCTGTCAGCAATTCTCATGAAACTTTGGTGAATTGTTTATATCTATTGATGTAAGCTCCCTTTAAATTTTCATAAATTTCTAATATGACATTGAGAATTAATTGAACTTTATTTGTTTATAGTCTGACAACAGATTTACTAAGTATTGTGCAACAGCACAGTGTATTGCACAACATCAAGAAATCTTTAATTGAATATAAATTCAATTCATATAACCAATTTCAATTTCTTTGACTACATTTATTCAGAAACCTATAATATGTCAAATATTTAATTACAATCCGAATTCAGACCTGTATCAAGCTGGAATATTGTGTCCATTTTGCCCCAACTGTTCAGGGTTGGACCTCTGCAGGCGTATCCAGCTGCACTCAGCGAAGCAGTTTATTGGGTAAAGCACTTTCTCATATATACATGTATTGTGACCAAAAACTATTTTGAGTAATTATTTTTGGTAGATGATAATAGTGTGCACACTATGAAACAACAATGAATCAAGAAATTGCAAATGAAGAGATATGATGATAGAGCTCTATGATTTGGCCCCAGAAATTGCAAAAATAATTAACTTATTCAAGCCTTTTAAAATTATGTTACTTTTCTTGATAAACATGATAAATGAATCAGTTTCTTTAGTTCAGAAAAGTCACTTGTTATGTCACTATTGTTTCATATAAATGTCAGAATTTATATGTATTTGACCTTAAATGGCAATTTCATGCATCGTTTTTGGTCAAAATGTATACAAGCAAGAGCTTTAAAGTAAAGTATACTTATCAATGTATATATTTTTTAGCATTAAGGCTTTCATTTGCCTGTAAAAATCTAATTATATATATTTATATCTGTCCAGATTAACATTATTTTTTTTCCATTTTCAGATGTATTTGATATATTGATGTATCCATTAGCTGACAAGTGATAACCATGAGTTTGAGTAGGCAAACATCATCGTCAGGCAAGCAAAGGCAGCATGCAGCGGCTGCACCAGCTAACACAGCAGCAGCTCTTGGTACGTTGGAGAGATAAAAAAGACCAAAATAAAATGAACTTATCATGTTTTAACTACTTAAAATGTAGAAATTTTTGCACTGTTTTTATACGACCGCAAAAAAATTTTTGTGGTCGTATATTGGTATGACGTTGGCGTCGTCCGAAGACACATTGGTTTTCGCACTCTAACTTTAGTTTAAGTGAATGGATCTCTATGAAATTTTACCACAAGGTTCAATACCACAAAAGGAAGGTTGGGATTGATTTTGGGGGTTATGGTACCAACAGTAAAGGAATTAGGGGCCAAAAAGGGGCCACAAATAAGCATTTTTGTAACTTCCAGACATAACTTGTGTGTTAGTGTATGGATATCTCTGACATTGTACCACAAGGTTCCATATCACAAAAGGAATGCTGGGATTGATTTTGGGGGTAATTGCCTCAAAATTTTAGGAATTAGGGGCCAAAAAAGGGGCAAAAAACAAGCATTTTTCTAGTTTCATGACAATAACTTGTATGTAAGTGTATGGATGTTTCTGAAATTGTACTACAAGGTTCCATATCACAAAGGGAAAGCTGGAATTGAGTTTGGGGGTAATTGCTGAAATGTTTAGGAATTGGGGGCCAAAAAAGGGGCCAAAAATAAGCATTTTTCTAGTTTCCAGACAATAACTTGTGTTCAAGTGTATGGATCTCTCTGAAATTGTACTGCAAGGTACCATACCACAAAGGGAAGGCTGGGATTGATGATGGGGGTAATTGCCTCAATATTATAGGAATTAGGGGCCAAAAAGGGGCAAAAAACAAGCATTTTAATAGTTTCAGGACAATAACTTGTGTGTAAGTGTATGGATCTTTCTGAAATTGTACTACAAGGTTCTATATCACAAAGGGAAAGCTGGGTTTGAGTTTGGGGGTAATTGCCCTAAACGTTTAGGAATTAGGGGCCAAAAAACACATTTTTCTAGTTTCCAGACAATAAATTGTGTTCAAGTGTATGGATCTCTCTGAAATTGTACTGCAAGGTTCCATACCACAAAGAGAAGGCTGGGATTGAGTTACGGGGTGATGAATCATAAGGGGGTTAAAAAAATTTGGGGGGAGGATTTTTTTTTTTTTTCCTTTTTTTTTCTTTTAAAATTTTCCATTTTAAGTTGGTTATTTCTGATTTATATTTAAAAGCAAATAATAACAAAGAGATGGGTGTCGTAAAAATAAAAATTTCTTTTAAAATTTTGAAATGTAATAATCAAACACTCGTTTGTGTCGATTGTTCAACAAAGGCATTATAATTAATTAGTAAATACATGTAACGATTTCTGAATTTACAGTATACATGGTATATACACAAATATGTTATAGCTGTAAAATTTAAATTGATATTTTTTCTGCAGAAACTTGCTAAATGATCATGGGTATTGTTAGCTTAAATCAAATTGAAAAAGAAAATACTTTCATATAAGAGCTTCTATGATTATCTGATGATCTTCTTTTTCAAAAAACAACACTTTTGTTAGTTTTATATCCAGGTAGACAAAAAACATATCCCTGACACAGTCCCAGTCTGCACCAAAGTCTTTTGCAATTACTTGTCCAAAGACCGATATTCCGACATTTTTCTTATGTGTCTAAACAAAATATTGCAAATACAAATCGGAATAAAATTCAAAATTTTGCAAATACTAATCCAAATAAAATTTTATAAGTCTGGGACATCTGACTAGTGGCTAACATTGCAGTCCAAGGGTAAAAGTGATCTCAAGTACATGTATATGTGTTCCCCATATTGCTTCCTTATAAAATTGTTGGTTTAGATTACAATGTTGATACTGAAAACTAATTTTGACAAGCAATGAGCATGATGTATTTATTCAACTTTCATAAGTAGAAATATAACATTAACATTAATCATAGGGAATACATATGTCAACCTTGGATCAAATCTCACATCAAAACATGCACAAATTTAGAAAATCACCAAAAAATTACTTGAGATAGATTAACACAAAAAATTATTGAGGGGATAAAAGTTACTTTTCAGTAATTAACATCATATTACAGTGCCTTAATATGACAGAATTACGCCACATCTTGAATGAGTTTCATTGTCTACAGATGGTTTACGAAGCTTGTTTGAACATTGTGTTAATTACAACAATTAAAACTTCAGAAAAACTGTGGACATGGTCTAAAGTGGCAAACATATTTGTGATTTAGGTCAGTTTAACAGGAACCAAAAGTAATAGGTCAATGATAATTGGTATGAAGTTGTATTAGCAATGACTCATTTAATTTTGTTGGAGATTATTTGGCCTTGCCCACATGGTCTATTGACTTCAACACTTTTTCTTTGTTTACCAGTATAGTTTGTCTTGAGGTCAGTTTAAACGTAACCACTTATGATAATTAAAATGGTATTTGATAGGCAGTTGTATCAGGATTGGCATTTCTCATTTGGCCTTTAACCTTCAGTTATGGTTTATTAGTTTTGAATGTTTTGCATCTATAGATTATATGTTAAAGTACGTATTACCATTATAATTTGAACATTTGCATTATACTCACAATATTACATAAACACAACAGGTATCACGATCCGAAACCGTGTAGGGATCAGAAACCCAAGAAGCAATTAATGAAAAGTTTGTAATAGTGGTTAATTAAGTAAAATCTGTATCCGATTTCCAAACTTTTCATTAGTTGCTTCTTGGATTTTGAATCGGGATACCTGGTGTGATAAAGGCGAAACATATCTCTGTGTCAACAGCTTATTAATCAAATAAAAAGATCCTTTTTGCATAACTTTAACACGGTTCATTGTGTATTTTAGCTGCAGCAGGAAGCAGTAACAATCAGGACCTTGCTTCCCTGTTTGAGTGTCCAGTGTGTTTTGACTATGCACTCCCACCTATCATGCAGTGCCAGAGTGGACACATTGTCTGCCAGTCCTGTAGACAGAAGTTAAACCTCTGTCCAACATGCAGAGGTCCCCTCGGTAAGTACAAATATTCTCAACATTACATGGTTCTAATTTAGACATGGTGTGTACATGTGTAAGATTTCATACAAATTGAATTTGTTAGTCAAATTCTACATTAATTTATTGTTGTACTCTGGATTTGTTTATTTTCATGGGTACCAACTTTTGTGGATTGAGGAAAGATTGTATTTTCATGGATACTTGACCTTATGGTTTTGACAAAATTTGCGTTCAAGCCTATAGCATGTATAGAAAGTGTGTTCTTTGTCGATTACATAACTTTGTGATTTACCTATACCAACCATTGCCCACACAATCCATGAAATTAGGTATCCCAACGAATAAAAATGAATTCACAGTATTACAAAGTTTCATGTTGAAATTTGAATTGTTCAGTCATATTGTCAACAAAGCTTTTACAACTTTTGTCTGCAAAAATATTGAAGATGTCACCAAAACAGAAAGAATACACAAAAACAAAAACCTATTTATTTAACAAACTTGTTTTTTTTTTTATAATAATGAAAAAATAATTCATACATAATGTTAACAGTACAAAAAAGGAAAAGATTCACCTAAAAAACTAGTTAATACAACAATCCATATCAACCACTAACACTTGAGTCCTCTGAAAAAATAAAAGACAGACAAAGATAAAAGAAAATTGAACACTCCCTTGGTACAAAATGAGGTTGGGTTATATAAAAATAAGGAGTTGAGGTATGATTGCCAATGAGACAACTATCCACCGAAGTTCAAATAAAGTGGATGTAAGCAACTATAGGCAAACGTACGGCCTTCAACAATGAGAAAAAAATCCAGTTTTACACAGCGCTAACCTTCCCCTTTACCTACCCATACCACATGTACCATATGTGGTAATATTAAAATACATAACATGCATAATGAAAACTGTACATTGCAGCTACCAACAGGATGAAAGGTTATTCTACAAATATTGTAGTCTTGGTTTTGTTAAGACATAGAAGTTCACTAAGACCCTCAGATAAGAAAATGGTTTAAAAGGTTAGGATAATAAAATGTACCTTTTTGAATAAATTCTAGTGACATAGAATATAATTATATGTATAATTTTTATAGGAAATATAAGAAATTTAGCTATGGAGAAAGTAGCCAGCACTGTGATGTTTCCATGTAAATATTCTAATAGTGGTTGTCCTGTCACATTGTTACACACAGATAAAACAGATCATGAAGATATATGTGAACACAGGTAACTGACTATTTCTTTGTAATACGAATATCTCTTGTTTCCTTGAGCTCTTTCATCATTTAGATAACTTACTATCCTTTGTATGGGTTTTCAAGGGTTCTTGAAAGCATATTGATTATAGTGCCTGACAAGACTTTGTGACATAGACAAATCCAGCCTTAAAAGGATCAAATGGACTTTTTTATGTACTTAAATAGGCAGATTGGTCATATTTTGCCTTCATAAATTTACTGCTTTAATGTTTGGGTATAAGTGGAAGGATAAGAGCTTAATAAGACTGAAAATTTTCTGTTAAGACACACAAGCTTTTTACTTAATAGCCTGACATGCCTAAAAAATAAGTTTAATGTTTCTCTTCAAAATAGTAACTTTTTTTCAAGAATCAAAACCCACAAAACCCACAATCTGCAAAATTTTGCAAATTCTGCACACAGGTGACAACCTATTTCCTTTTCTGTAAAAAGGTAGAAGATTCTTTATAAAACGTGCATCTACTATTTCCCACCATATATCAAGTCTGATTTTCATGTTCCATGGTTTTATGCTCCTTGCAAGTGTCCAATAGTCAGGGGTTATACTTGTACAAGTGACTTTTATATAGATGTAAGTAATATTTTCTTTGATAAATAAAGGGGTGCACTAAGGCCACAATAAAGTATTACAAAACAAGGTGATTCTACCATAAGAATAAATATTAAATATTGGCAAAGTTTAAAGTGAAATAATATCTTTGAAATACCATATATATCAACAGAGATTTTTCGTCTAAAGATGTTAAAATTGAAATTGTTTTCCTAAAATAATAACAAAATTGGCATATTTTCACACAATTTGTTATTTGGAAATAATGAGTAAAATTGAGAATGGAAATGTGGAATATGTCAAAGAGACAACAACCCGACCAAAGAGCAGAAAACAGCCGAAGGCCACCAATGGGTCTTCAACGCAGCGAGAAAATCCAGCACCCGGAGGCGGGCCTCAGCTGGCCCCTAAATAAAAATTAGTACTAGTTCAGTGAAAATGGACGTCAATCTAAACTCCAAAACATATAAAGGAACTAAAATTAAAAAACATACAAGACTTAGAAAGGCCAGAGGCTCCTGACTTCAGACAGGCGCAAAAAATGTGGTGGGGTTAAACATGTTTTGTGAGATCTCAACCCTCCCCTATACCTCTAGCAAGTGCATGGAAGTACCAAAATATTCACCTGAAAGTTGTTCATATCGACAATAGTTGTTGAAAATTATTCAATTGGTGTTTGTTCTATATTTATGGGTCCAAAACTATGCAAAAAATAACCAAAATCTGTTTACTTTTCTAGAAAACACATAGAAGGGCATTTTCCTGACGTCAAAACTGCAGTTGTTGTGACATCATGGTTTTTTTTATCTTGCCACACCTCAACTTTAAATCAGACAATAATTGAAATCTTGAATAAAAGTCAGTAAAGTGTTAGGCCACATTAGGCCCTTATGGCTCCCTGCTTTTCGTTGGAAATTTTTCTTTCTAAGGGTTTGAGAAATTTCCCTTGTTTCTACGAACATTTACTGATACAAGTAATTATTTTTACCATCCCTAAAATTCGCAAATTATTTTGTGTCAAAACATGCTTAAAACATTCTTTTTCTGGTTTGCTGACTGGATAAAACATAACCTTTCATCTCATGAACTAAACAAAGAAATTTACTGTGCAAGTACTTAAATAATTTCTTCCAAGAGGATTGAAATAGGCAGCATTTTGAAAATAACAGACAATTTATATGTTCACTTTCAATCAAATTATTAGAGATGTTAAGACATCTACTATAGACAGACAATCAGACACTCCATTAGTGCATTGTAGTCAAAAGAAATTGAAGAAAAGAAAAATATTACTTTCTTACTTTAGTTTTTAAAAATCTGACTAACTAAGGCAGATAACTCTATCTCTAAAATTATTTACCTGTATAAGTATAACACCTGTCTTACGGAGATCACCAGTTTTGTACTTATTTTGCACAAACAAAAGAATTTAAAAGACATGTTTCCTATTTTTACTATGTACAGGGATTTAGGAGTTATCACAAAGATTGATCGATGATCATATCATGTCCTCTGGATTAAAAATAACATTACTTTATTATCAGAGTAAAGATCACTGTGTACTGTGACCTTTCCCCACTGGTTCTCAACAATATTATTTGATAAGTTATAATGGTGTTTCAATGTTTCACACATGTTTAACTGAGCTAAATTCCACACGGAACATTTCTTTTCATTCAATTATGGAAAATTAAAATTTGAAATCATTCTTTTCGAACAAAGGGCACAGAGTTTATTTTTATCATGCTGAACTCTGACCAGATGAATTTATTTCAGTGATATTTGTATTTGATAAATGCCCTTAATTTTGTCAATACAGAATATCGTAAATTCAGAAATTATTGTGAGGTTTATATTAACAGAATAATGCAATGTGATGAATATCACAATAATAAGAAATTTTTATTCATATATATTTAGATTTTCCTAAAATCACAATAAACAATGTCAAACTTTTGTTCATTCTTCAAAAATAGCAGTAATAAATGCGGTAATTATCAATATTTATTTTTAGACCTTACTGTTGTCCCTGTCCCGGTGCCTCATGTAAATGGCAAGGATCTTTAGAAGCAGTAATGAATCACTTGATGCAGCAACACAAAAGTATAACAACTCTGCAAGGTAAAAAAAAAAGTTTTATATATGAATAAAAAAGAAATGTTGTATTTATTGATGAGATTGCAACCCAATGACACAAAATTAATGCAGCCAGACATATAGATAACTGTGTTAGAATGTTATTTTTGAAAGGTAAAACTTAGATCTACTATACATAATGGTAGGGCTGGTGCTTCCAAATCTGATTATGAAACTTATGACTATTGTATCACTGCCCCACCCCCCCCCCCCCCCCCTATAAAAATGGACTTAAATGAAATCTATTCCTATTTCAGGCTAATATTTTTTTATACGACCGCTAAAAAATTTTGCGGTCGTATATTGGTATGACGTTGTCGTCGTCCGAAGACACATTGGTTTTCGCACTATAACTTTAGTTTAAGTGAATGGATCTCTATGAAATTTTACCATAAGGTTCAATACCACAAAAGGAAGGTTGGGATTGATTTTGGAGGTTATGGTACCAACAGTTAAGGAATTAGGGGCCAAAAATAAGCATTTTTGTAACTTCCGGACATGACTTGTCTGTTAGTGTATGGATCTCTCTTGTACCACAAGGTTCCATATCACACAGGGAATGCTGGGATTGATTTTGGGGGTAATTGCCTCAAAATATTAGGAATTAGGGGCAAAAAACAAGCATTTTTCTAGTTTCATGACAATAACTTGTGTGTAAGTGTATGGATCTTTCTGAAATTGTACTACAAGGTTCCATATCTCAAAGGGAAAGCTGGAATTGAGTTTGGGGGTAATTGCCCAAAACGTTTAGGAATAAGGGGCAAAAAATAAGCATTTTTCTAGTTTCCAGGCAATAACTTGTGTTCAAGTGTATGGATCTCTCTGAAATTGTACTACAAGGTACCATACCACAAAGGGAAGGCTGGGATTGATTTTGGGGGTAGTTGCTTCAAAACTGTAGGAATTAGGGGCAAAAAACAAGCATTTTTCTAGTTTCAGGACAATAACTTGTGTGTAAGTGTATGGATCTTTATGAAATTGTACTACAAGGTTCCATATCACAAAGGGAAAGCTCCGTTTGAGTTTGGGGGTAATTGCCCTAAATTTTTTGGAATTTGGGGCCAAAAAACAAGCATTTTTCTAGTTTCCAGACAATAACTTGTGTTCAAGTGTATGGATCTCTCTGAAATTGTACTGCAGGTACCATACCACAAAGGGAAGGCTGGGATTGAGTTTGGGGGTGATGAATTATAAGGTGGTTCAAAAAATTTGGGGGGGGGGGGGGGTTCTTTAAAAGTTTCCATTTTAAATTGGTTATTTCTGATTTATATATAAAAGCAAATAATAATGATATGGTTTGAATAGGTAAATTAAAAAATTTTAAGTTCTTAGACCACATTCTTTCTGTGTCAGAAACCTGTGCTGTGTCAAATATTTAATCACAATCCAAATTCAGTGCTGTATCAAGCTTGAATGTTGTGTCCATACTTGCCCCAACTGTTCAGGGTTGGACCTCTGCGGTGGTATCAAGCTGCGCTCAGTGGAGCATTTTATTGTATATGAAGAAGATATATTATTTTTCTTATTATACTTTAGAAAATAATAAATTTAGCAATACATACACATTAGATAGACTCAAACAATTGATATTGAAAAAATACATCTTTACCAGTCAAGGATATAACTCTATAGGGTTATTGGAGAAAAATAACATACATTTGTTATTGTGGACTAAAAAATCAAAGAACTGTGATAACATATGTATGTTACATGTTCCAAAGGGGCAATATACATCATTTGTTTTGTTAAAATGTATACAAGTTCTATTGATATTATTATTGTCTTTATGTATACTTAACTATAGAAAGATATAACAGTTCATAGTTTGCCAATCATACATAGTACACCTATGTTATTACAGAAAAAATATGCCTGTAATAACAAAAGGGTGTTATTACAGCTTCTCTACATCACTTCAAAGCCTTTGCTCAGACATACATCATGCTTAATCACAATGTATTTTAATTTATTGTAAGAATTAATGATCAGAGCATGTAATGAGGTTCTGCGCAAGCTTCCCAGAAATTCCCAAGTGTCTCATATTATAAGTTACATGCCTTTAATAATTAGCCTTGTTATTATGCCCCTGCCATAGCTGTGGGGGCATTAAGTTTTACCCTTGTCCGTCTGTACGTACGTAAGTACGTCCCAAAATTGGTTTCCGTTCTCTTACTTGAGTTTGCCTCAACCAAATGTTATGAAACTTATACACAATGCTTTTTACCACAAAACACAGATCGAGTTTGAATTTTGCTGGCATCACTTTAACCGTTCTAGAGTTATGCTCCTTTATAAATGGAAAAATTGCAAAATTTTTATTTTCTTCTAAATATCAAGTAATTTTTAAAATTGGAGTTATCTTCCTTTGTCCATGATGATAGTTGAATCAACTACAATCAATGCTATATACAATGCAATGTTAAATTTTGAATTCCGCTGATAAAACACAGATCAAGTTGAATTTGGGTAGTGTCACTTTAGCCATTATTGAGTTATGCCCCTTTATAAATCGAAAGATTGCAAAATTTTTAGTTTCCATTCTGTAACTTAAGTTTGCCCCAACCAAACATTATTAAACCTATACACAATATTCATTACCACAAAACTAAGATCAAGTACAAATTTTTTGTTTCCGTTTTCGAACTTTAGTTTGCCTCAACCAAATGTTATGAAACTTATACACAATGCTTATTACTACATAATACAGATTAAATACGAAATTTGGTGATGACACTTTTACCATTCTTGAGTTATGTCCCTTTATAAACATAAAAATTGCTGAATTTTTTGTTTCCGTTCTCTAACTTTAGTTTGTCTCAACCAAATGTTATAAAACTTATACACAACCATTCTAGAGTTATGCGTGTTTACAAATAGAAAAATTGCTGAATTTTTAGTTTCTGTTCTCTACTTAAGTTAGCCTCAACCAAATGTTATGAGACGTACACACAATGCTTATTACCACAAAACTCAGATCAAGTTCAAATTTGGGTAGCGTCACTTTTACCATTCTTCAGTTATGTCCCTTTATAACTATATGATATGCAAACGGGGGCATCATCTGTGTCCACATGAGGACACTATCCACATTTATTACAGCTAAGTTTATCCCTTAAAAGCCCTGTCTCATTGATTTACCATGGTTGATGAAAAATGTATTAATTTAATTGGAAAATTAGTAATCAAGGCTATGTATTTAGTTTCTGCGCAAAGTTTCAGGAATTTCCAAATGCCAACTAAAAATAAAGTATTTATGATTTATTTAACAAATAACAAACATGTTACTACAGATTTAGAAAATTTAAGGATTAAAAGAGTAGACAACTCATGAAAGTATCTGTAATAACACATGCCAGATATTTTCTCTAATAACCCTATGGATATTAACCCTATAGAGTTATATCCCTGACTGTTTACAGGGCCATTTATTGGAATTAATGACTCTACTCCTTTGAATTTCTGTTACAGGAGAAGATATAGTATTTTTAGCAACAGATATAAATTTACCAGGAGCTGTGGATTGGGTGATGATGCAATCCTGTTTTGGTCACAACTTTATGTTAGTTTTAGAAAAACAAGAAAAAATGGAAGGCCAGCAAATGTTTTATGCAATAGTCCAGTTAATAGGGACTCGCAAACAGGCAGAAAACTTTGCATATAGGTAAGATTTTAAAAAAAGGATACAATAGATAAAACTATTGATTTTAAATTTTCAAAATCAAATGCTGCTAGCAAAAATTATATAAGGGTCTGGATGGGGTATACAGAATAGAGATAAAATAATGAATAGAGAAAAATGTGCTAAAAATACAGAATAGACAATAATGGGGTGCAAAAAAATAAAGAATAACTGTTGAAAATAAAAGAATTGTATACGATACTAATAACAGAAATGAGTGATATACAGAATAAAAGAAATCATACAATTGCAGAAAAAATAATATTCAAATATATTTCGTGAGAATTTTACAGAATAAGCATTATTTTTAAAGATAAAGAAAAATTCCCTTTGAAATTTAAAGGATGCAGAAATTAAGGCCCCCCATCCAAAGTCTCTTACATGTTAAGAATCTTGTTTGTTCAGGTTTACGGAATATTTGGAACTTCTCTAGCTTTTTCCTACACAATGCATTAAATATCATATGGAAGAAACCCCCTATATATCTCTATATTCATTAGAAAGCTACAAATCCTATACTTCTTTTTGATTTTATACAAATGTTTGTTACATGTACATCTACAACATGTTTCTACAAGTTTAAGATGGATATCTTGTCTTGATCTTAACCAATTTTTATTTTGCTTCTTGAGATTTTTTCAAAAGTTTATGCACTTATAAGGAGTTGAGGTGTTTTCAGATTATTTTGTTTAAAGGCAATATATACATGAAAGTAGAAGTTGCAAAGTTTTAGTGTGGAAGACATAAAGGCATAACATTTTTGTTACCTTGTATATAATCAGAATTTGGGGACATTTTTTTATTTTTGCAGTTTGTTACAAATTTGCTAATAAAAAAAAATCTATGAATTCGAACTGAAACCAAGTGAAACCATGACACAATAGGGGAAAACAATTAATTTCTCTATGACAAAAACTAGTTCATTGCAAAGTTTTGAATTTTGTCATTAGAACAGTTGTAATTAGATTTTCACAATATAGAAATAAGGAGATGTGGTATGATTAACTTTTATTAATTGGTATAATGGGAAAAATGCTAGAAATTTGTTTTGTAAACATGATCTTCAATTGGGGTGACATGTAAAAGTAATTAATAAATAACATTCTTTCTTTGCATACAGATTAGAGTTGAATGGCCACAGAAGAAGGCTTTCATGGGAGGCAACTCCCCGTAGCATCCATGATGGTGTTCAGTCAGCTATAGCTGCAAGTGATTGTTTAGTATTTGATACAAACATTGCAATTTTATTTGCAGATCATGGAAATCTTGGCATAAATGTTACCATATCTATGTGTTAAATGTTGTCTTATGCACAGGGAAAAAAGATCTACAGTACACACGACGTGCATCAGTTAAACATCACTTTAGGTGGCATTGAATGAATTACTATAAAACATAGCCTGGTATCCTTACCAAACCTCCTCTTTGCGCCAGTAGGGCCAGATGTAATAAAATCCAGATGACTGAATTACTGCACACGTGCATGTTCTATAAACAATGAATACATCGATCGGATCATTTATCAACTACCAAAATATTATTGGGATTATAGTTACTATAATTTTCTGGAATTTGCATTTTTTATGAATTTAAAAATAATTTTCAATAAATTTATGGCAATATAAAAATCTTCCCGCCATGTGTCAAGAAATGATGCTATCCCACTGTACATCTTTCTAACATCCAATAAACGAATACATGTTATTGTATTCTGCCTGGCTTTGTTGTCAAGCAGTGAGCCAGGATCCCAGGCTACTATATAACAGTGAATGCTGGAGATTTAAAGGGGTAACACTCTGTTTTCAACCCTGGTTTTAATATAACCTATGGAATATACAGAGAGATATTTCAGAGTGAATCAACTACAAACACTAGCATTCACTGTGAACAATCACCAGGAACATTTTCGGATAGACCACCTTGTGTATACTGTATATGTATTCATTTTAACTGGAAGTTTGTTGTGGAATGATGAGCCTTGATTGTTTCAAAGTAAAATTTAGTTAGGTCTAGTGCTTTTTATAAGTGTAAAAATGAAAAAAATTCAAAACAAGTGGTGTCTAATTTGGATTTATTATTCATAGATATTGTTTTGCAATAATATTAAGTATTGAAATTTTCATTATGCTGTTGATTTAATGTTTAAAAAAAAAGGATATAATATTTTTAAATAGTTTCATAATTTTGAATAAGTATCATTTTGAAAAGAGTTAGAATGAATTTCAATATTCATGTTTGTAACAAGTTTTGTAGAAGTCGGTGAACAAAAATTATGAGTACCAAAATTTTTTACTTTAAATGCATCAAGAAATAGCCTTTCATAGCAGTTTCTGAATCCTGATACTCTACCTGGCTAGAAATTAAAAAAAATAATTTATTCTTGTATTCAATGGGCATTTACACAAAATAAATTGATATAAGGCAAACATAAGTAAGTGTCAGTACATACATGTATTATACATTTGATATATATATATAGCATTTTTTCCATGAATTTTTGCATTGTCAATTCAATTATAAATTTAAATTCAGGAATTCATGAGTGCATTTATCATTGCCATTCTTTAACCACTGGCAATAATGTGAAATCTGATTAGTGCGATTGCAAACATTTTATGAAGGAAAATCACTGCTTAAATTATGAATGGGAGTTGATTTTTATTGCCAACCTACTAGTGTGGCATTTTTCGCATTAATAAAAACATCACAATAATTTCTCAATTTACAGTAATATTGCAATCATTTCTAAATTGACAGTAAAATTGCAGTAATTTCTAAATTTACAGTAAAATTGCAATAATTTTGGAAATTACAGTAAAATTGCAATAATTTCTGAAATTACAGTAATCAATAAGTTAGTTCATTGACAAAAATATGGAGGGTAATTGAATAGTAAGAACATTCAATTTGTTAAATTTGTTACAATATTTTAAAAATTCGAATGTTGTTTCATAATCAAACTGAACAAAATTCATGGTTAAATTGAACTATTGTAATATCGTATATTTGTGAACAATAAAGAATGTTCCCTGTGCTGTTGTCTGATTGAAAGTGAAGTGCTTTTTGTGTATGAATGACAAAACATGTTAAATTGCATGAATGGTTACCTGTAATTGTTAATTCATAATATTTATTGAAAAGAGTATTTTGTATTTGGAAGATATGAAGATTCTTAATATTAGGTATTTATATGTAATTTTGATAGCGCTAAGTGATTATGTGTTGTAACGATGTGTTTTCCATGTATCATATATTCAGTTACAAGTGTCTAATAGTTTATACTTTTCTTCTAAATATCAGACATGCTAAAAGTTACTTGTAGAAAAAATGTATTGAAATGACTTTATAAAACAACCTAGAAATCGTGATTTTTGAGTATGAGAAAAAGTGTTGTTTTGGTACAAATTTGATAGTTTGCTTAATTAAGCCATTGTATAAGGAAATTTTTTCCATTTCTTAAAAATTCATCAAAGATACCAGGCTATAGATTTATAAAGAAGATGTGTATTTTATCTACATAAGACTCATTAGTATCTCTCAGTATGAGCATCAGTACTTAGTTAAACTTTTCCTGACCAGTCTGTCTTTTGTGGGTATAGTACGTGGGTTTTTACCCTGGGAATGATTTCTGAAAAGGGGGATGCGTATTATGTATGGCTACACTGTTCTTGAGACTTTTTTTCAGGCTGATTTCAAATCAAGAAACCAAGTGGTCTGGAGGAAAATATTTTCGAAGCATAAACATTTTGATCAAGGGGCTAAACCTTTCAAAATATGAAACATTAATAAAAGAATTATTGGAATTTTCAGCTAAATTTTATACACCCAGTCTAAAATTTAGTAGCCTGAGCTACTTGGGCCTACACTATCCTATTCCCTGACAATTGTTAATTTCTGTTTATTCATGATCACGCGAAGGCCACAGGACATTTGACCACCTTTCTCTTGAAATATATTTAACTTCGTACTTTATTTAGCCTTAACGTTTTTGATTCAGGCGTCACTGATAAGTCCATAAGTAGATGAAACTAGTGACGGACAAAGAAAATTTTAATCCTGGTATCTATGATTAGTTTATTCCCAAAGGCATTTGAAAATTTAAGTAATCTTCATAAAAAAAAGTCCTGAAGAACTGTAAGATCTGAAGCTGAATTACTACGATTCAAAATCCAGGTCTTATCCATTTCCGTGCAGTGGTATAAAAATTTTGGCTGATAAGACGAGATATAATTTATTTATGTTTATTCATTGAGCTAAAATTGCTTGATTTCATCCCCACATTACAATTGTAATGCTTATAAACAATCTATACAATAGTGTATTGCCAAAATATTAGAGCAAAAAGAGCACTATAGACTTTTACATAGAAATTAAATGGATTTGATATTTGAGTCCATGCAAATTGATTACCTGAATATAAAGTGAATGGACTGATATAGATGTCTAAACATACATAGTGCTTAATTACAATCTGTATCTGATATTGATTATTACTCTAGTTTAATCTGATTGGGTATGGCACCTAATTAAGGGCTTTCTATTTATCTTTACCTGTACTACATGTACTACATGTATAAGATAAGCACGACTTATAAGGAAAAAAATTGTGTGATTCCAATCATACAGGACAGTTTTTAGAGATGAAATAGTAACTGACTGATTAATTTTTTTTTCAGCATTTACCTTTATATATTTGAAAGAAAAAAATATCTTACTCAGTATTCGAACAAGAAAATGTGTAAATATTGCTGTCAGTTCCATATAAATGTTGTGTACATTGATTGAAAGACTTTTTTTCTATGGATTAGTTGATTAAAAAAGATCAATCTACAAAAGTTCTTTCGATAGATGAAAGCTGTTGAAACCATACCCAGTCTGGTCAAATTTATAAAGTAATAGATATTAAATGTATGTGTATGAGATGTGCAGATGAATGAATGTTGACATTATTCCCATCAAATACATTATAAACATGAAAAAATGAATTTGTTAGTATTTTATAGATAGTTCCAAAAATAATAATTGTGTTATTGTGTTAGATTTTTATGTGTGTTATATTTTGTTTTGTTTGCTCATTAATTTAATTTCTTGCTAAGCAAGAACATCATGAATTGTTTATTTTGTGGGTAAAATTCATTAGTTTTCCTTCTTCCTGTTCTTCACTTAGTTTTATAGCAAACGTTGAGTGTACTTAAGCTGTTTTGCAGAGAGAATAACAATTGTCATCAAGATTATACGTTAATGCTTTAGAAAAATGAAAACATTAGTAATGTGAACATAAGTCAGAGTATAGAACAAAGTGATGTTAAGAAATTTAAATTTCAGAATTATGATTTTTTAAACTAAACACAGAATGAATCTCTTTAAGATTACCTTTCCATTCATTATTCAATCCCCAAAAAATGTATTTTGGTTCATTTTTAAACTATGAAGGCATGTAAGGAATGCAAAAGATAAGTTTTGTTGAGGGTTTATAATTTTCATAATTATCCATTTTTCTTAAACATGCTTATAATTGATAGAATTTACATTTCCTGTAGTTTAAAGTAAGAAAGCTGACATTTGTTATTTTAAAGTAACAAAGTAATCATACAATCTCTCCCTTATTTAAATCTAGTTTCTTACAAGAATATTCATACTTTTGGTGCAAATTAAACTACAAATAAACATAGACAGTCTTCATTTTCATGAAAGTCTATTTTATAGGTGTTTTGTTTTTGTTAGTAGAACTTAATCAGAATTATGATATATTGGCGGGTATTCATTGTACTTCATACACATTTTCATAATGCTTTTTCCCAAAGTAACAAATGTTCATTGCAGATGATTTTTTACTCCTGTAGTGTCCAATTCAAGATATTTATATTTTGCTATTTGATCTTACGACACTATGTAAATGCTTTGCATACAAGGATCTGACTTTGTTCAGTTCTACTTTCTGTTTGCATCAAAAATTTTAAAGGTGATTATAGGTTCATCATCTGATGAGAATCCTGGAAAGGGTCTTCAAAACAGAGAAAAGTAACAGTTTTGCCAAATCCTTCTAAGTGAAGCATGGACACCATATCTGGTATTTTGGTCAGGTTAGATGTAAAAAAGACTTAACATATTTACAATTTACGTAGATGTCAGCTTTCAATTTGTCATTGCTTGCATTGTAAATATGTAGCACTTAGTCTCATGCTTGATAAAAATTGCAAAGTATGTAAAAAAAAACTCTTAAAATTGAATTTTCAATTTAACTGTTTTGATTTCAAAGCTTAATTTAAAAATGTGTATTTAAGAAAGCATATGAAAATAAAAGGTTAATTGGTAATGGTAGTATGTTCATAATCTTTTAAAGATTTTGTAACTACATTCCAAATTGCTTGTTGTAAAGTATTGGCTTGGCAAACAAGTACTACCATGAAGCTCCTCAAAAACTATAGACACATTTGATAAATGATAAAATTTGTTTCAAAGTTATATTATTAAAACACAACTGTGCTTGCTATATAAGTATAAATCAAATATGTGTTTTCCAATTTTGATAAATTCATTTTTCATTATCATTGACCATTCGAGACCTTTATAAAGAAATAAAAATAAAACAACTACTGTTAAAATGTCTGAACCTAATCCATATTGTGTTGAAACTGTTGATGTCAATTTGAATTATAGCGAGAATTTATTTTAAAAAAAATATATTGTTTATGAAAACGAAATTATTCAGATAAATTTATATCTATGTATGAAGACAAAGTGGCCTGAAATAACATTTCACGTAAGCAATTATGAATTTTACAAATATTATTTGCTCCAGACGAAATTGACTATTCACAAACATGAGGATCAGATTCAATTATTTTGCAATAGGAAAAAGAAATTTTTGTATTTTGTTATCGAAAGTAAAACTGTTCAAATAAAACCATTCAGATATATGTTGTTATGTTACATTGAGTACTTAGGTCATCTAATTGAGTTTGTACATATCAGTATCTCGAAGGTTTTCTAATTAAAATCTATGAAGACTTATGCTTTTCCATTACACTAATGCCAATAGTTTGTTGTAAACCTTGAGATCTTTATTTACTGTGGTAATTAGTCCCCTATCTATGAAGTCAAAGGGGACTTTAGGTTTGCACTACGTCTGTCTGTCCATCCATCAGTCCGGCAAATCATTTTTCCACACTTTGTTTCTTGATGCTTGAATATATTGATTTGATATTTGGTGTATTGTTTTATCATGACAAGTTACAGATCAAATTTGAATTTTGTTCCGGTCTGAAGATTTTGTGCAGATTTATGGTCCTTGAAAATAGAAAATTCACTCAAATAATCAATTTTCCACTCTTCTTTTTGTCATGTTTAAAGACATTGACTTGATATTTGTTATATAGTTTACACCATGACAACTTATAGATCAAGTTAGCATTTTGTTCCAGTACAATTAATTTTTAACCGGTAGGGGACTATGTATTGCCAGGCAATACTCACAGAATGCTTGTTTTTATGAAATTTACATATACCAGAATAGTGAATATAGTTTTTTTGTACAGCGAATATTGTTGTTTAGAACTTATCAAGAAACCAACCACTTCTTACTAAATGTTTTTGTCATGTGCGCAACACGTTGAGGGGGACATGGAAATACCGGGCGTCTGGTCTTGTTAGCACTCTAACGTGTACAATTCTTGCCAGATTTTTATGAAACTTATATCATAGGTTTATATCAGCAATGTCTTGGATGAATTTTGAAAACCAGTCCCGATCAATTATTTTTAAAAGAGTTATGCCCCTTGAAAATTTAGTTATATGGAAAATTGCAATGTAATCGCTCTAATATGTTCAATGCTTGCCACAATTTTATGACCGGTTTATATCAGCAATGTCTTTAACAATTTTGAAAATAAGTTCTGATCAAATATTTTCAACAAGTTATGCCCCTTGGAAATATAAATTATAATGGAAATCTCATTGCATTTTCTCTGAAGCCTTCATTTCTCTTAAGATATGAATAAATAGTTTTAGAAAAAAAAGTGCTTTCTAGCTTACCTGGACCTTTGAGGGCCATGCGAGCTTAAGCCATCACTTGGCGTCCGTAGTTGTCTGTCGTCATCGTAAACTATTTCAAGAATATTCTCCTCTGAAACAACTGGGCCAAATACCTAACTTTAACTGAATGTTAAGGGTATCTTGTTTATAAATTGTATCCTAAGTTTTGATTATCAACAAACATGACCGCCATGGCTAAAAATAGAACATAGGGGTCAAATGCAGTTTTTGGCTTATATCTCAAAAACTAAAGCATTTAGAGCAAATCTAGGGGTAAAAATGTTCCAAAGGTCAAAATCTATCAACACAGAAATTTTCAGACGAATCGAACAACCCATTGTTGGGTTGCTGCCACTAAATTGGTAATTTTAAGGAAATTTTGCAGTTTTTATACGACCGCAAAAATTTTTGCGGTCGTATATTGGTATGACGTTGGCGTCGTCCGAAGACACATTGGTTTTCGCACTCTTAACTTTAGTTTAAGTGAATGGATCTCTATGAAATTTTACCATAAGGTTCAATACCACAAAAGGAAGGTTGGGATTGATTTTGGGGGTTATGGTACCAACAGTTAAGGAAAAAGGGGCCAAAAATAAGCATTTTTGTAACTTCCAGACATAACTTGTGTGTTAGTGAATGGATCTCTCTGACATTGTACCACAAGGTTCCATATCACACAGGGAATGTTGGGATTGATTTTGGGGGGTAATTGCCCCAAAATATTAGGAATTGGGGGCCAAAAAAGGGGCAAAAAACAAGCATTTTTCTAGTTTCATGACAATAACTTGTGTGTAAGTGTATGGATCTTTCTGAAATTGTACTACAAGGTTCCATATCACAAAGGGAAAGCTGGAATTGAGTTTGGGGGTAATTGCCCAAAACGTTTAGGAATTAGGGGCCAAAAAGGGGGCAAAAATAAGCATTCTTCTAGTTTCCAGACAATAACTTGTGTTCAAGTGTATGGATCTCTTTGAAATTGTACCACAAGGTTCCATATCACACAGGGAATGCTGGAATTGATTTTGGGGTAATTGCCTCAAAATATTAGGAATTAGGGGCCAAAAAAGGGGCAAAAAACAAGCATTTTTCTAGTTTCATGATAATAACTTGTTTGTAAGTGTATGGATCTTTCTGAAATTGTACTACAAGGTTCCATATCACAAAGGGAAAGCTGGAATTGAGTTTCGGGGTAATTGCCCAAAATGTTTAGGAATAAGGGGCCAAAAATAAGCATTTTTCTAGTTTCCAGACAATAACTTGTGTTCAAGTGTATGGATCTCTCTGAAATTGTACTGCAAGATACCATACCACAAAGGGAAGGCTGGGATTGAGTTTGAGGGTGATGAATCATAAGGGGGTTCAAAAAATTGGGGGGGGGGGGGGGATTTTTTTTTTTTTCCTTTTTTTCCTTTTTTTTTCCTTTTAAAATTTTCCATTTTAAGTTGGTTATTTCTGTTTTATATTTAAAAGCAAATAATAATGAAATGGTAGGAGATGCACACCAAACAGGATGTGTAAATTATTATATAATAAGTATTGTGCAATAGAAAGAAATTTTCAATTGCACAGTATTGCACAATAGCAAGAAATCTTCAATTGCACAGTATTGCACAATAGCAAGAAATCTTCAATTGCACAGTATTGTGCAATAGCAAGAAATATCCAATAGCACAATATTGCGCAATAGCAAGAAATTGTCAATTGTACAGTATTGCGCAATAGCAAGAAATATTCAATTGCACAGTATTGTGCAAAAGAAGATACTTCGTATAAATTGCTTATTTCTTGACCAATTTCAATGGGGTTTTATTCTTGAATTCTTGGGGTTCTTTAATATGCTGATTCTAACCGTGTATTAAGTTTTTGGATTTTGGGCCCCATTTTTAAATTGGTCCACATTGAGGTCCAAAGGGTCCAAAATTAAACTTTGTTTGATTTCATCAAAAATTGAATTATTGGGGTTCTTTGATATGCCGAATCTAAACGTGTATTTAGATTCTTAATTTTTGGTTCCGTTTTCAAATTGGTCTACATTAAGGTCCAAAGGGTCCAAAAATAAACTTAGTTTGATTTTAACAAAAATTGAATTCTTAGGGTTCTTTGATATGCTGAATCTAAACATGTATTTAGATTTTTGATTATGGGCCCAGTTTTCAAGTTGGTCCAAATTGGGGTCCAAAATTAAACTTTGTTTGATTTCAACAAAAATTGAATATATGGGGTTCTTTGATATGCTGAATCTAACCATGTATTTAGATTTTTGATTTTTGGGCCCCATTATCAACTTTGTCCACATTGAGGTCAAAAGGGTCCAAAATTAAACTTTGTTTGATTTCATCAAAAATTGAATTCTTGGGGTTCTTTGATATGCTGAATCTAACCATGTATTTAGATTTTGGATATTGGACCATAAAAGGTGAATGTCCAATTTAAAATTTTTAAGTTCTTAGACCACATTCATTCTGTGTCAGAAACCTATGCTGTGTCAAATATTTAATCACAATCCAAATTCAGAGCTGTATCAAGCTTGAATGTTGTGTCCATACTTGCCCCAACTGTTCAGGGTTCGACCTCTGCGGTCGTATCAAGCTGCGCCCTGCGGAGCATTTTATTGGTTATTGTTTTGAATAGTATTGAAGATAAAGAGAAACTGTAAACAGCAAAAATGTTCAGCAAAGTAAGATCTACAAAAAGTTAATATGTCAAAAATTGTCAATTGACCCCCTTAAGGAGTTATGGCCCTTTAAAGACAATTTTACACAATTTGTTCATCATGTTTGCTAATATTTAAAAATCTTCTCCTCTGAAACTACTGGGCCTAATACTTCTTTACTTTAAATGAATATTCCTTAGGGTAACTGGTTTTTAAATTGTATCCGAAGTTTTGATCCATTAACAAACATGGCCGCCATGGCTAAGAATAGAACATAGGGGTCAAATGCAGTTTTTGGCTTATATCTCAAAAACAAAAGCAGTTTGAGCAAAAGTGAAAGGGAGTTAAAGTGATAAATGGGTCATGATCTATCTGTTATAAAATTTTCAGACAAGTTTGACAAATCATTGTTGGGTAACTGTTGGAAATAGTTTATTTTTATCAAATTTTACTGTTTTTGGTTATTTTCTTTAATATTATAATAGATAGAGAGAACGTATAAATGGCAATAAATGTTCATTTAAGTAAGATCTACAAATAAGTCAACATGATCAAAATAGTCAATTGACTCCTTAAAGATGTACTAAAACGCAAAAAACATGTTTGAATAATTTTAAAGTTCAAAATAATCGTTGAAAAACACAAAAAACCCGATAAAATTTTATCTTGTAATTATAGAGATATTTGCAAAATACTGTCTATTCGTCATTTGCTCACCTGAACGATTTAGTAAAACACGCCACTAACACCAGGAATATTCTTTTTAGTTGAAAACTCAAATTTGAATTACCCAAACCCCATCCCCCCTTTTTCAATTGAAACACATTATTAATACACTTAGCTTCTGAAACATATTTTTTCCTTTTGACAAATTGGTCATGATAAAGAATGGAATTAAGTTTGAGTTATTTGTTTTGAAAAGTGATGTGTTTAATAGATAGATACAAAATCCTATCTAATTTTAGAGATTTATGAGTGGTTAAGTCATATCTAATTTTAGAGAATTATTTTGGTGTTTTGTTACTGGTTCATGGAAATAAATTTGAGTTTTATCTTGTAAACGGTCGAGATCCCCACCCCTATACCATATATATTCTTGTATGGGACAACACTAATCAAATGAAATATAGGGGAAGTCCAGGGGGTCACCCCCACCCCCCTTCTTTTTATACGACCGCAAAAAAATTTTGTGGTCGTATATTGGTATGACGTTGGCGTCGTCGTTGTCGTCGTCGTCGTCCGGCGTCGTCAGAAGACACATTGGTTTTCGCACTCTAACTTTAGTTTAAGTGAATGGATATCTATGAAATTTTACCACAAGGTTCAA